AGTATTATGATACTTAAATACTTAAAACATCGTGTGATTTCGACATAATTGATTACATCGTGATGGAATAGACGTCCCAAAAATAGTTTTGAAACAAGAATTTATTCATGTTTGCTGACATTATACAGGGTGTCTAAAATACCATGTCCCACTACTGGCTACTTTGAAAACAATATAAAATCAATTGAATGAGCTCCTTTTTTACCCCAAAATTTTCCCACGAACAGTTTTTCGAAAAATCATCAGAATGTGAAAGGGTGCATTTTTCCTAATTTGTTTTTTTTTTAAAGTTCTCATGTTGATTTGAAATTTTAGTATGATGAGTTCCTTTTCTTCCTTTGTTCACTCCAAAAGTTTCAAAATTTTCCCATCAACAGTTTAAGACCAAAAACCATTGCATATATCTCATTGACAAAAACCTCGACAAAAACCTATAAAAGGTAAATTCGGAAAAAAAAAATGTTTGATGATGGATTTTTCAGCCTGAAACGTCGAAAACATACATGTATGATACATTGTCGGATGGCAAATTAAATTTTTTATCAAAATAAACAAATATACAGGGTGATCTACGTAGCTCGTGCATTAGCTTGCAGGTGGATTAAATGCTATTTCTACTAATCCACCTGCAATTTGGATAACTTCTAATGGACGGGCTACGTAAATCACGGTGTATATGCGAAAAAAGAAAAATAGTATTTTGTAAACAGAAAAAAGACGAATAATATTTTGGTTTTTTCCCAATATCTCGATATCTGAAATCAATTTGGCAACGGTGTGAGTATATCAAAAGTAATCACTAAAAATGCTGCAATAGTGGGATTGTGAGACATGGTATTTTGGACACCCTGTATTGAACAATTATTGGGTAATCTATACAGTATTTAAAATCATATTCTACATTATATAGATCAAAGACATATTTCAAATTATTGTTTCTGGGTGATTAATTCCAAAAATTATATGAGGCAGTAAACAGAAAATGCCGCTGGTCATTTTATAGCAGTTTAAATTTACACACAAAGAAAAATCAACATTGTTCTAGAATCGATAAATTATTATCATCCCTCGGGATCAAACACTGCACTGGTGATTGATAAAACCGTGCATTATAGTCCACACACCCGTGACAAATTTACATTTTATAAATCCGTATAGCGGACTTCCTGTTCTGTAGCGGATTTATATTAATTTATAAAAGGCTTCTGTGCAGCTGCTGTCCATTTTAGGATAAAATATATAGGGGGTGTTAATTATGGTGATCACATTGCATTTTTAATTATAACTTTGCTGTCTTTGGTTTTGGAATTTAAATGTTTCAGCCACAAAACTATTCACACAACATAATCCTATACTTTGTATGTACCGTGCAGTGAAAGTATCATTATTCAACACGCCGTGATGTCTATACATGGCCAGATTCAAAGCAACAAAAAAATCTTGCTTCGCACGAAACCGTAACTTTGCTTTAACTGTGTGAAACGATTTTTTTTTTATTTTGCAATTTTATGTTCTAATAATCGAGAAGAAATCCTTGCATGAGTCATACTGGGGGGTTTATTATCCCAGGGTAAGACATTAAAGTTTCCCCTTGAGTATCGCTAATGATGAAAATTGGAGCTTTATGTCGCGCCACCCCAACTTGTAGATAAAGCAATGGAAAATCGTTTTTCCCTTATATCCGCCCATATAAACGATGTCTTTGGAGTTAAAAGTTATCAACTCAAAGATCAAAGAGAGTTGGTGTAATATTGATTTTTATTAAGTTGTAGCTGAGGCTTTGTGACGATTTTTTAGGAGAGCTGAAAGTGGCTGTTGATGAAGTGGATTTTTAGTTAAATACTTTCAATTAGAAATTTTTTCCAGTAAATTAACTCAATTTTTATGAAATTCTTGTTTTACTTAATTGAAATCTTTTTGAACATTCCTACGAAGATTGTAGATTTGGTCAATATGATATTATGATACAAGACAACATAAATCAAAACATTAGAATACCATAATGATCTTTGGGCCATACATTACGAAAACAGGAATTATTCTTACACGCAACTTTAAAAATCTAGAAAAAGTACTTCCTTATAAAAACTCCTTCTATACAATTTCAGCATGCAATAATAATTATTATTCTATCATAATCATCATTAACATCATGCCATGTTACAATAAAATAAGGAAAAATTTCCCCATTAATAACAAAATTATACACACACTGATTCACTGACTAATAATAAAGAAGTATATATCAGACTTTGTGTATGTTTAGGGCATACACAGCCCTTTTCTAAGGCCTCCGAAGCCTTAAAGAAGTTTAACAACGTGGAGTCTGTGTATATTGGGTCCCCTATCGAATTTGGAATCCGTTTGATGCAGGCGAAATTCAATTTCACGTCGGTGCGCCCTTTAAAAATTCAGACATGAAATTGCTTATTATTTTTTTGCATATTTAGTTTTTTCGTATTTATGTTTTATATTTTGTTGAAAACGAATCAAGTTTCGTGCTAATCAAATAGGATTTTAAAATGGTAAATGATATCAACAATGTTAAAATCAATGATCAATGTCTGTATTGCAGCATTTTCAGATTTTTCAAAAGTATTTGATACTATAGGATATTATTGAAATTACTGAAAATGATTAAACTAAAACCGAGACTAAAACTATAATGCGTATACCTATGTCTTTGATCTATTAATGAAGATATAATATCAAAATTTGGATGCTCTATGGATTTTTCTAAAAGTTGTTCAATTTTCTTTGTTATTTATGAAGATTTTCTTAGTTTCATAATCATTTCTTTATAATGTTCCTATTATGTACTATTGTGGAAATAGTAAGATATACCAAGTTGGTTATGAAAGAAAAAAAATACCTATTTTTAATGACCACTTCTGATATACTTACAGTGTTACCAAATAAATTTTGTTTTTTGAGATATTGAGAAAAAAACTAAGAATTGCTTAAACCTTACTCTGATACCTCGAAAACTTACAGAAAATTTAATATCCGACAATGTATCATTATGTATGTGTTCGACGTTTTAAGCAGAAATTTCCATGATCGAACATATTTTTTTGAGGCATTTGGTATCCGACATAATGACATCCTATACTATACCAATCTCTTTCGTTTTCAATTGCTAAACTGAGTCCACTTTATGTCTATCATGTTAGTAGGCCGTTTAGACTGTTATGTTTGTCTTGCTTTATCCTATTGAAATGAGAGAAAGCTGTGTACCTACAACGCACTAAAGTGATTCCATTTGGCTTCCAAGGTTTGGGCTGGGAGTCTGGATAAATAATATTTTCTTTATGAACATTGTATTTCATTAGAATATTTTGTTTACTGCTGTTTGATGTTTATTTATTATTTTTATTATTGGAAAAAGTATTTGACTCATAATTTCCTGAAAAACTGCTGAAGCATTACACAATCCAAATGGACAACGAAGATACTCAAAATGGCCTTCAGATGTAGCAAATGCTGTATATTGAACATAATTTTCTTCCATAGGTATCCGATGATAGCTTGCAGCTAAATCCAACAAGGTGAAATATTTACAATTTGAAAGATTACCAATTATTATCTCTATGATTGGCAACATTGACAGCTTTTTTTTGTGATTTTATTAATTTGATGAAAATCCATAACCAGTAATAGGTAGTCTTTATCATAGTCAATACAGGGGTGTCCTAAATAACTTGAAATACATAGGGCAATTTGAATTACAAAATACATATTTGCACCTTTTTTTTACCCTGTATATCCGTTGCTATTCTGAATTCAGAGAAGTTGATGACAAATTATTTGCAGGCACTTGGCTGCGCAACTTTTTCCCCTCTTGATCCACCCTGTATCTTCAACGGTTTCCAAAATCCCCATTCACTTCAATTCATTCCGGATACCCTGTATAATAAGTGCTAATTTCCCTATTTACGTATTTCAAATATTGAGTTAAAACCAAATTGAAGAAAATGCACATTTTGATGATTTTTCGAAAAACTGTTGATGGGATAATTCTGAAACTTTTGGAGTGAAAAAAGAAAGAAAAGAAGCTCATTATACTGAAATTTCAAATTAATTTGATGAAAAATGGCAACATGGGAAAATCTCGAAAACCAAATTAAGAAAAATGTTATGGGTCTTCAAAGTTTTTAAAAATTCACATCATAAGCAACCTCAGTAGGTACTAAAATGTTGAAATTTCAAAAAAAAATTGTTAAGATTTTGTGTCTTAATGATCATTCAGGACGGCCAAACTTCATACACTAAATTATTCCGAGATTTGAAGTCAAAATCTATGGAAAAAGCCTCTCAGAAAAATTAAAAAAATTGATGAATCACCCCAAATTGCTTAATACGATTTCATCTCAGGAACTATAAGTGCAAATAAACTGAAATTTTCAGGAATTGTAATCCTTTGAAAGGGATAAAATTCAGTGAAAGTTTCAGCTTTCTATCTATAATAGAAAAAAAGTTATGACCTTCCAAAGTTTTCCAAAATCTAAATCATAAGGTAGATTAACTTCTTACTAAAACGATGAAATTTCAATTTTTTTTTTTGTCGAGATTTTGTATGCTAATGGTCAATTAACACACCCCAAACTCTATACACTAAATTATTCTCAGATTTGGAGCCGAAATCTATGAAAAAAGGCACTCAGAAAAATCGAAAAATTGATAAATCACCCCAAATTGCTTAACACGATTTTATTTCAGGAACTATAAGTGCAAATAAGTTGAAATTTTCAGGGATTATAGTCCTTTGATTGGGATGAAATTCAGTGAAAGTTTCAGCTTTCTATCTATGATAGAAAAAAAGTTATCAAAAGTTATCAAAGTTTTCCAAAATTTAAATTATAAGGTAGCTACCTTAGCCAAATAGACATAAATTTATGTTACATTATTCTTTCACCGCTAAAAACCCAATTTCTAATAAAAAAAATTATTTATAGCCTTCCTCCAAAATGCCACATTTTTAACAGAAAAAAAAAACAACAATGTTACCAGAAACGTTGCCTCAAAGATTAGACAACGAACTGCGCAGCCCGAACAACAACTCGCACCAGCTACCGCGCACTCGTGCGAGTTTGTGCTTGTCACCTACTAGCACAGATGGCGCCGCTGTCGACAATAAACGAAGAAGTTGGTGCGGAACACCATCTGGCGGAGGACCAACACCACCGTTTTTGAGACGTTACGGAGAGTTGGGACATTTCAAACCACGGTAAGGATTTTTTCGAATTTTAAGGCCGGTTTCTCAATAGCGAGTCACTTTTAGGTTAGTTTTAACTCCAGGGGAAGTGTGTTCAGGTGTTATGTTTACCCTGGAGTTATGTTTAACCTAGAGGTGACTTGCTATTGAGAAACCGGCCCTTAAAGCTTCATACATACTTGTACAACAATGTTCAAGTATGTACGAAACTTTATACTCGTTATCATCAACCAGCTGTTTCTTATAGTTCATGACCTGTTTTTTAAAATGATATTCTCCCCTCGTCTGCTCTCAAACATATAAAGGGAGTGTGTGTAAGAATGATGGCGAGAATGGGGAATAAGAGGCTTTACATGACATGCCTAAAATCAATATTGTGATGTTTGAATATGAATGACTCTTAGGTTAGTGCGTTTTGCATACAATACTGTGGCGGTACCATTAAAGTGAATATTGGCGAACCGTTAAAGGAACGAACCATATTTAATCAAACAATGCAATTATTGTTACTATACATATAGAATTTCGATTATTACTAATCGATCGTTTTTTTATGTTATTTAAGGGCTGGTATTCCAATGTTATCTGAAATTCATGACTTAACTATAAGGTACCCTTAACTTTCAGGTTAACTTGAAATCAGTTCCTCGCTCCTCATACCGCAAGTATCAGTTAAAAATCGACGAACAATATGCAGTTAAACTTGTATTAGGATGAAGGATGACTCAACGTTATTCTGTAACATTAATACCGACCCTATAAGTATCTTAATAGTTTACTTCCTTATATAAAAATCTAATCAGTTCTTCTTATATACAAAAGCAAAGTTGATTTTATCATCGCCGCAATACAATTCCGGAATATTGTTGGCAGTCAATTCGAGGAGCCGAAACTCAGTTATGATGAAGCCTTTTTTTTATATTTTCTCATTTTCCTTGAGCTGTCTTCGTATCTCTTTAGGACATCTTGTCATTTTTCTTTTGAGATTTTATTAGAGGTTTATATTCAAATATGGAAATTTTATAGAACGGACGTATGTGTTTTTGAGACATTGTCAGCATAGACCAAAACTACAAGAGACATTATTTATTTGTTTTTTAGTCTTACTTCATCATTTTAGTCAAGTGTAGCTCCAATATGACAAAATCTTCAACTTTGAGGCTCAATTGCTCAGAAAGTATCAGAACTAATTTGATACGAATTTATAGGTACTTTTCTCAATAATAGATGATTTTCCTAAATTTCAATAAAGATGTATGCAATTATTACTATCTAACCTTGTTCCCAATTCGATCATAAATCCCGAATATACAAGTCAAAGTTAAAAGTCTATTTTATTGCCTTCGGCAATCGATTCTTTTCAGCCTCGGTACTAAATTTTTAAGCAACTTTAAAACAAAACTTCAATTTCCCCTGAGACTTTGCAGCAGCTTTATTCTTAGGAACATTAAATATTTAAATCCTCCCACAGGAGGATTTGTATTAATTAGTCGGATCTTTTGTTAGAATTAATGTTCACTTGGATTTTGAAGTTTCACTGGTACAAAAGAACCACAAAGGAGAATATTTTGATACAATAGTAGCAAAAATCATCCATGAAAAGCTCTGCCATTTATTTCTGGTGATGCCTTGAGCGAAACGTTTACGTTTATATTAAAATTGTTTATTTCTCTTTGTTCTAAAATGAATACATTATAAGGACAATATAGCGTAACGGGATCATTATCAGTGTGGCACACCTGGCCAAATGCAATTTCCATCACATTCGTGTTTTTCAACCACTCTGCAGCTGTTTATGATTTGGAATTTTAGTCAACATGGCCCCATATTTATTACGGCACAGTCAAAGCGTTGTTAATAAGCTACACAGCGATAAAAAGTAATGCACTTTTCCCGGCTTACTATTAGATTAAAGGTTATTATTCCATTTGTTAGACGCTTTGAAGCTTTTAAATTAGATTAGGAAGAGAGCTTTTTACGAGTGTGAATTTATTAGTATGTATTGCTTGAATTAACAGCAAATCTGGGAAAACGGTATATACCTACCTACTGTTTGATACGCACTAATAATGTCCTGATACATGATATAAGTATGGATTGTAATAAATAATGAGTAGAAATAGAAATTGTTGCTATTAATATAAATCACATCTTCAAGCTTCGTTAAACAAAAAATAGCACATTTTGATCCTTTTTATATGTTAAAATAAACACCAAAAAGGATTTACCGAAAATCATCATTTTCCATACGTAACTTTCCGCCCTCTGGGGATGCCTGTGTAATTTCAAAAGGAAATGTATTTCCTGGTTATGGTTATCAGGAGAATTTCTATTCAACAAGTTAGTTATTTTTGGGCTAAATTTTGTTGAAATCACTTATACGTATTCGCTTTGATTAACAATTACCAAAAGGACAGCTACCTAATTGAATAGAGCAGCAATTAAAATGGAAATTCGCATCGGAAATTCCCCCTCTTAACCACAAAACAATTTAATTACAAGTTGACCATCAGCCTTTGTCATTACAATATTTGGAAAGAATCGATATCTAAATCAAAAAAGACCCCGCACACCTCTTATGGGTTTTTGGTTTTCTGTCAAATTCAATGAAATTTTGATGTGTGGTATATCTTGACTTTCTGATAAAAAGTTCTCATAAACCTAGCCCGATACTATGAATAGTTTTCAAGATACAGGTAGTTGAAAGTCCAAGAAATGATTTTATATGCATTTACATCTACCTGTAACCTAATAATACCTATATAGGATTTTTACGCTATATTTAGGATGACGTCATATTTAGTAAATTTCTGCTGCCAACCTAACAAAACTAAAAGAACTTTTTAACGCATTTAAAGTAGGGGAATTTCAGATGTTTTTGATTGGCAACGGCGCGCGACGTTGCACGACTTGTATAAACATTTTCATTTCGTTATTTTTAGCTGTCGTCAGAATTATGTCAGAAGTATTGACACATGACATTTTGGTAAATTATAAGAAAAAAAATAGGCATTGACAGCATTGTCTGTCCTTGTCCGATGACGTCAACCTAAATATAACATAAAAAACCTATACGAGGATTGACAGGTATCCATACGCTCAGTTGACAAAATGCATATAAAATGTGCACATTTCTTGAACATTAAACTACCCACAAGTTTCAAGTTTTCCACATTCAAAACGATATTTTCTACAGGGTGTTTTTGTATATATTGACACCCCACTTACAGCCTTTACCTTTACAGGTAGAAGAAAGATGTAAATATAGAAATTGTACAATTTTGGCTGAATTTTTGGAAACCATGGTCAGAAACAAAATTTGAATGTCAGAAATGTGAGATTTTGCATGCTTCCAGCTTCTTTTAAATGGGATGCCCTATATTTCATTTTATATTCTTGAAAAGCACAATGCCCCGATTCCAAAAATATATAGTTTTTCTATATCTGATTGAATAGTCTCTCATATATTCGGCTCCAAAAATTGTAAAAATACTAAAATCTGTTTTTTTTTTAAAGATAAAAGTCAAAATGACATTATGTTGGCAATACAATGTAAAATTGTCAATGCTTCAATTTTTTTATGTAGAAAAGGCTTGTGTTGCCAAAATTTTTGACTTGGGGAATTATCTTTAAAAAAAACAGACTTTATCTTACTACTGATTTTGTGAACCATTCTACCTGTACAGGTGAAAGCTGCTGCTAAAATTTGAGGTACTTGGTTTCTCTGATAGTATTTTTAAAATTTTTAGAACCAAATATGTTGGAGACGGCTCAACCAAATATAGACAAACTATATAGTTTTGGAATCGGGAAATTTTGCTCTTCAAGAATATAGAACCAAATATAATAGGGCATCCCATTTGAAAAAAGCTGAAAGCATGCAACGTACATTTCACCTTTCTGACATTCAATTTTTGTTTCTGACCATGGTTTCTAAAAATTCAGCCAAAATTGTACAACTTTTGTATTTACACCTTTCATCTACTTGTAGAGGTGAAGGCTGTAAGTGGGGTGTCAATATATAAAAAAACACCCTGTATGGACAATAACTTATTATATAAAGTCATAATTTGTAAGATTATCCACTTTTTGTCAATTTGCCTTTCAACAGGAATTAATAATGTTACTTTACCAAACTAGTAACATAATGTGACAAGTAGTTCAAGTACAAATGAGTGAATTATTGCGGAACTTATGGGTGGACCTCTGCGGGACGAGCGCAGCGAGTTCCGCAGCCATCTATTCATCAATATGTTGTTTAATTACGATACTAACCTGACTCACTCAAATGTGACTTATTCTCATTAGTTTAAAAACTACTTCAGGTGAATGTCTTACTTGAACAGTATATTGGTGAGTAGATGGCTGCGGAACTCGCTGCGCTCGTCCCGCAGAGGTCCACCCATAAGTTCCGTAACAATCGACTTATTTGTACTTATTGTACTTATTGTACTTATTATACAAAGTCAGAATTTGGAAGATTATCCACTTTTTGTCAAATCGCTTTTCAACAGGAATTGGTAATGTTACTTTACCAAATTAATAATATATTGTGACAAGTTATTCAAGTACAAACGAGTGGATTGTTGCGGAACTTATGGTTGGACCCAGCCATCTATTCATCAATATGTTGTTCAAGTACAATACTAACTTGATTCACTTAGTTGTGAATTTTTCTTATTAGTTCAAAAACTACACGTTTCAGGTGAGTGTCTTACTTGAACAGTTCAACAGTATATTGGTAAGTAGATGACTGCGGAACTCGCTGCGCTCGTCCCGCAGAGATCCACCCATAAATTCCGTAACAATCGACTTATTTGTACTTGAAAAATAACTTATTATACAAAGTCAGAATTTGGAAGATTATCCACTTTTTGTCAAAACGCCTTTCAACAGGAATTGGTGATGTTACTTTACCAAACTAGTAATATATCGTGACAAGTATTCAAGTACAAACGAGTGAATTGTTGCGGAACTTATGGGTGGACCCAGCCATCTATTCATTAATATGTTATTCAAGTACGATACTAACCTGACTTACTCAAATGTCAGTTATTCTCATTAGTTCAAAAACTACAAGTTTCAGGTGAGTGTCTCATTTGAATAGTTCAACAGTATATTGGTGAGTAGATGGCTGCGGAGATCCACACATAAGTTCCGCAATAATTCACTTATTTGTACTTAAACAATAACTTATTATACAAAGTCAAAATTTGTAAGATTATTCACATTTATCAATTTGCCTTTCAACAGGAATTAGTAATGTTACTTTACCAAACTACTAACATAATGTGACAAGAAATTCAAGTACAAATGAGTGAATTGTTGCAGAACTTATGGGTGGACTACTGCGGGACGAGCGCAGCGAGTTCCGCAGCCATCTATTCATCAATATGTTGTTTAATTACGATACTAACCTGACTCACTCAAATGTGAGTTATTCTCATTAGTTTAAAAACTACACGTTTCAGGTAAATGTCTTACTTGAACAGTATATTGGTGAGTAGATAAAATAATTTGCTTGGGTATCCTTGTATCTGCCATTCTTTGTACATGTCTGAACCAAATTAGCTGTTTGTCCTTTATATCATCTACTATTGTGTGTTTTACGTCCATAATCTCTCTTATTCTTAGATTTGTTATCCTTTCCATCTTTGACCTGCCTGCGGATCTCCTCCAAAAGTCCATTTCAGTTGCTTCCAGCATTTTTGCGGTTCTGTTCTTTAGTGGCCAGACTTCTGAGCCATATGTGACTATGCTTTTGACTATGGTAATCTATATTCTAGTTTTGTTGATATTTTGGTCCCACAGTACACCATTTAGTAGGGATATTGGCTTGCGTCCCTGTGTATTCCGGTCTTTAATTGCTTCGTCTAGGGTTCCCTCATGTGAGATTTTCATGCCCAAATATTTGTATTCAGTACATTGTTTTATTTCTTGTCCGTTATTCAATTTCAGAGTTTGCTGTTCATCTCCTATAGTCCCAAATAATCCACTTATTTGTACAGGGTGTTTCTACTTTGCAAATTACTTTGAAGAAACTTTTCAATGAGCTGAAACAATTTAGAGACGTCATTTTTATTGGCGTTTACTGAATTTGCAAATTTCAATTTTTCCCGGCTCTTGGTTTAAATTTGGTATTTCTCGAAGAATTTACTTGAAATATCTTTTACTGGATTCAGTAAAATTTGAAACTCTTTCAAGACTGAAAAGGTGTAATAATAATTAAAATTTAAGGTGATCAAACCGCTTTTAATAAATTTTATGGTGGTGGTCCCAGGGGTACCAGTGGGACGCCTGTACGAATTAGACAAGCATTTAGAAACAGTAGGTAGTTTTCTCTTTTAACCTTACTTTCTTTACATCATGTGACAAGAAAAACGTACCTCTTTCACATTTCTAGGGCGGTTTTCTTAGTTGTGATTGGTTTACATATTTTATTGCCTAATTATGCCAACTTAATTCGACCTTACTATAGTCACTGTGGAGATCTTCTGTTCTACCACTTCTACCGGATAGAGATCTCATGGTGATCTATGGAAATCCATGGATACCCTTGGAGATACGCGGAGATTCATTGAAGATAAATGAAGATACGGAGGTTATTTTTGCACCAGATAGTGAATCTATAAAGATCCTTCCGCAACAACCAACGATCATTTTCAGATCTTATGACCATGAAAGGCTTTAAGTCATCAGCAAACGCAAGAAGCTGGCAGACCTGGAAAACATCTTTTATGTCTTTAATAAAGCAGTTGAATAAAAATGTTGAAAGATATCCATCTTGTTGAATACCTGAGGTCACACAGACCTCAGATAATATATAATTCTTAATTTCAACTGTTTGTTTCCTTTCGCTGAGATTATTTTCAAACCAATTGGGTAGAACTCCAAAAATCCCAATGGCTTCCAGATTTTTTATAAGTATGCTATGATCAACCCTGTCAAAAGCCTTCGAGAAATCAGTATAGATAGAGTCAACCTGACCCCCATTCCCGAAGACTTCCAACAAACGCTGCTCATAGCACAACAGATTGGATATGGTGGATCTATCCTTCATAAAACCATGTTGCTCATTTATTATTAGGTTTTTAGAAAGTGGAGCTATCTTGTCTGCAATATTGGTTTTAAAGATCTAAGAAATTAATGACATTTTAGATATCGCTCGGTAGTTCTTTATGTCCGACCTATCTCCCGCGTTAAATATTGGTGTAACATAAGAAAGCTTCCAATATGAAGGAAACTTTCCACTACTTAACATCAAATTAAAAATTTTGCACAAGACCTCTGCAAGGACAAACATCCTACCACAATTTTCCAACAATTCATCAAAAACACTCTCAACTTCAACAGAGTTCAAATTCCATTCACATAACAATAAATTCAACTCTATAATACCCATGTTTTTCTTACCAGTATTTCTATATTTCTTCACCTGATCATTTACGCATTGCAGAAATTAAGACTAATAACAGAGTGATCGGCAATCCTTGGAGCATCGTGTACCTCCACCTTCTAGCCGTTTTGATTTGAGAGCCATAAAAACTGGTCACTCATTCTTCAAATTCCTCAAGAAAGTCAGCATGCGAACTTGCTGGAGAATGGTAGATGCATCCAATAACCCAAATGACTAGACGCCAGATGCCGACTAACAAATTTACACCAAAAGTTATCAACAAGTTTTAATTTTTTAGAAAATCTGTAATTATTGTTGATATAAATTAAAACCCCTGTTAGAGTCACATCTACAACACATATAATTATCAATACATAATTCACCATCTTCAACATCTTTGGTTGTTCGTGTTTCACTCAGTGGAATGATTTTGGGATTATAAGAAGCAATGCTCTGTCTTATTTAATCTATATTTTTTAGAACATTCTAAGCATTAAGTGGGAGTTTTTTTGATTATCGGTGATAAAACCTCGAGAGCTTCAAAATTACGAAACAATAACGAAATAGAGACGGCTAAAAAAGGAAATTTATACATTATCCATTGAGAAATACATATTCACATCCTGATAATTCGACAATACAAATTTTTATATCAAAAAAGAGCTTTAAGGTATGGTATAACGGATAGTTTTTCTTTATAATGTAATTTGATCAGACTAAAATAACTATTGTCAATAATGAAGTGACAACGAGCCTTTTAAACAAGACTCCGAAATTCAAATTTGATGATGCAAAAGTTCTCCTCTAATTGCCGGCTAAATACTCCTTTAAACTTGAACGAGTAGAATTAGAGCCAATAAACTTTGGTCGGAACTTCCTAGACGGGGCGGATTAATTAAAAGTGAACGAGTTTGTGTAGTTGGGAGTGATGGGTGAAAATGATTCTTTATCATAGAAGAATGTATATTAAAAAATCCCGACTAGACGTTTAAAAAGCTTCCTTTCAGCTTGCAGAGACGTTAAATAATTTTGGCTCGGTGCCTAAAGAATGCAGACAACTGGAGAAAATATCCAGTATTAAATGTGTCCGTACATCTTAAATTATTTGCTACTATAGGTCAACATCTAGATTTTTATTAAAGAAATAAAATGTGTTTTCTTTGCTTTTATAAATGAAACAACCAATGCAATTTCTTATTTATTATCTCATTATTCGTTTATTATGTCAGTTGACATTAGATTCCACTTCGGTTTTTATCGCTTTATAAACTTTTGCAATGCCTTTATATTGTCAGTTTTTATATTGTTACGCCTTATGGCACGTACAATTCTTGGATTTTATTATCGGAAAAGTATCTATAATAAAACATTATTGAGAAAAAATCTATTTGTTTTCCTCATTTATTTATCTTCATCTGATCAATTTTATTTTGTACTTAATTGTATTTACTTGCATGTTATTTTTTCTAAATTTTTCTCGAATTTTTTCTCTGTATTTCTCAATTTTTGCAGTCCAATTTTTATCTATTCTCGATTCTTGAAATTATAGAAATAAAGAAAATTTAAGGGCCTGAAATAGCAAAAACATCATTTTCCATTTACCCCAGTAATTAACAAAGAAGAAAAAGTAGAAGATAAACATTATGAAATAAAAAAAGTCACACATCTGGAAAACCTTTCCAGCATCTTATACTTGTGTGAAAATTGCAATTTTTAAGAATCTTTCTGGCAAAATCTCATCGAATAAACCACAATATTTATACTGGTTCCAGCTGGCACAACAGAATAACTTTTATGTAATTTTCAGGTCACAGCAATATTGGTTGAGTTGATTTATCCTCAATTCAAAACCCATCAAATTGTTGAGCAACATTTTCACTCCCATTAAACTTTACCTGATGGTTTGAAGATTTATTGCACAAACAAATTATACGCCTTAAATCAACAAGCAACAACCGCCAATTGTTTTAATTGCTGGCATTACATAAACTTCAATTGTGTGGGATATATTTCTATAAGCAAAACAATGTCTATTTAATGCTGTAATAATAATTTTATTTTGTTTTTCAATTAGAATTGAATGAATCAATATTTTTAAGAGTTTTTTTTGCTAGTAAGTAAGTGTCTTTTCCCCAAAGAAAATCCATATGGTTGAATTCCTCGTAAGGAACTTTGAGAATTTGTACCAAATTTGGAAGTTGCTTGGCTACTAAATTGAGAAGAACCTATAAAACAAAATAAATTAGTTATTATAAAATTTCAATTAAAACATTTATTTACCTCATTATTAATCAAATTGTCAGCTTCTCCATAATAAATAATCATAGGAGCAGTTACTTTTGTTAAATCATACACATCTTTTGAATTAAAAAATGTAAAATTCCCTGTACGTGTTCCTTGTACGTAATGTCTAATTTGTTTCAAAGACATTCCAGCTGGAAAGTTGGATAACAACGCTAATTGAAGCTCCTAGAGATTAATTTTTTTTTTTTGTTCTAGGTAAGATGACTAATACCAACTATTAGTAAGTATGTTCTAAGGGGCAAACCACCTAGGAATTCTTTGCCAAAACTGTGAGGAATATAGAGTAATTTGTGGGGAATTTAAGGAAATTTATGGAAAATTGGAGGAGTGTATAAGAAATTAGAGGTGTCTCAAGATTTTAGTTAACTAACTAAAATTTCTCGACAGTAATGAAACACTTTCCACCTCGGTATGTAATATACTATCATTGCATTACAAAGCGTTACGATGCATTACAAGCATTACGTTGGCATTACCCTAGCACCACGTAGCATTACTCGATATAACCAGGGACTACGCTGGCATTTCCAAACATTAGATAGGAATATTGCGGAATTACGCTTGGATTCAATGGAGTTATGGATGATTCTTAAGCTTTTAAAATGTAGTGAGTTTTATTAGGTATATATTATCAAAACATAAGTATTAGTTGGGGAGCTGGCGTCAAAAACATGCAAGAGTTTTCGCAAGGCAGATATTTTTAAAATAGGTCGTACTTTAGTGCTAGAATGCTAGTGTACAGTCAGCACTCACAGTTCCGGGACAGCTGGCTCTGGGACGCGGGCAAAGTTGTAATTTTAAGAAGCATCTAAACTGTTTTCTCAAAGCTCAAAATTTATAGAAATTTTGCACATTATCTGTTTGAAGGTCACAGATAACGTATGTAAATCGTCAGACGTCTAGTTCGTTGCAAAAAGGGGGTCAGACGTCCTCAAAGTTTTTATTTTATGGCACTTTTTTCGGTGTCCTGTCAAAATATATTTTTGCAGGTATTTGACAAATATATTTGAAGAAAATGCCATAAAATAAAAACTTTGAGGACGTCTGACCCCCTTTTTGCAACGAACTAGACGTCTGACGATTTACATACGTTATCTGTGACCTTCAAACAGATAATGTGCAAAATTTCTATAAATTTTGAGCTTTGAGAAAACAGTTTAGATGCTTCTTAAAATTACAACTTTGCCCGCGTCCCAGAGCCTGCTGTCCCGGAACTGTGAGTGCTGACTGTACACTAGCATTCTAGCACTAAAGTACGACCTATTTTGAAAATATCCGCCTTGCGAAAACTCTTGCATGTTTTTGGCGCCACCTCCTGGACTATATAGTCATATTCACGATAGAGTTTGAATTTTGACCGTTATTTTCACCAGTTGAAAATAAATAAAATCCCCAGATCTGTCCCTTTTTCTGACAACTATCAAATAATGATACATGACATTTTGATATGACACATGAGAATATCAGATTCGGGTCTTTGAATTTTGAATTTTAAATTTTTATGTGAAATCGTTCAGTTTTTTGCCGTTTTCTGCATTATTTTTTTATTTGTTATTATTGCAATCGGTTTTTTTGGTTTTTTATGTAGTATTCTGTGCCTTTGTGTTTCGGTGTTGCGTTTCAAACCTGGTTTTAGTTTGGATTTAAGTGTTTACTCTTTTTATAACTGTTTACTTTGGACTCTAATTTTTGGATTTTTGGATTTTAATAACTTAACTTCCTTTAAAGAAATTAGGCAATCTACTGACCTGTCAAAAACGAAATTCAATATGGAAGTTCGGGTCAAGCATTGGGTCAAGCACTGTGTTGTTTATTCTGTATGTCATTGATTCTGTCACATTCTGGACAAACGTCTAGATTTGAATTATCGGATTCTGTGTTTTTTTGTGTGTTTAGGTATTGTGTTAATTAAAATGCCAGCGATTTGCATCGTAATTGGGTGTGGAAGTCGAGATAACAGGGATAATGTGAAATTTTATCAAGTTCCTGCTATTTTAATTCATGGGCTTTTGATCTACAAATATGAATTATCAAAACAACGCAGAGCTTTATGGATTGCTGCAACTAAAAGCTCGATTTTTCCTTAATAATAATACCTTAAGATATTCACTCTCCATCTCAGAATTTATTAATAAATTAAAAAATACTATAAAATTCACAATTCACTATGAAAACAACAATGACCAAAACCAATGAAAAATACGTAGAAACACATAAAATTCACTTCGAAAGCAGCAAGGGCCAGAACACAAATGCTCTCCTTATAAACGTTAAACGTCACCGGCTTGTCACCGCAATATTTGACCCGAACGGCCATTAGAAAATCACGTGATTGAGATTGCCTAATTGAAAATACATTTTTATTCTGAAATGTATATCACTTTTCTAAATACGACCCTGTCGTTTATACCAGCTGAAGGAATCGAAGCGCTAACGCATGCTGGCAACCTAAAGAAAAAGTTTACTAAAAGTGTCAACGCGAACTGTCAACTTCACTTTCTATCGTGATTTAGTCTATAGGTACTCATCTTAGGTTTTAAACAATTGAAAATTGGCATTTTATTTACTATATGTACCGGGTGTCCAAATAAGAAAGGTCGCCGGCTATATCTCAGGAACTATTAGTCCTAGAGCTTCCAACTAAAAATTTTTTTTATAAAATAGGCCATGAAAAATTGCTGGAAATAGTTTTCAAGTTTGTAAGTTGACCGCTAGGGGACGCAACGAACACTCGAAAACATAATACTGTGATTATCTTCAAAAAACGCCCACTTAAGGTATCCTAAAGATATGATTATTGAAATCTTAATGAGATTACGAAAAAATTTTGTTAAGGATTTTTTGCTCTAACTCTTCAAATAAGAGGTGGGGGAAGGTTCAAACTTGTCAGGAACAAAAGTTATATAACTTTTTTGTTTTTCAACCGATTTAAATGAATCTGGTGTCATTTGGAAGAGTTTTTTTCTGTTTAATGAAATGCATAATAAAAATGACATGGCTGTGTCTAAAAGTCGACAATTTTCCATTTTTTCTTGGAAATTTCAAATATAATGATGCTTTTTTTATAATTTAGATGGAAGGAGGATGAAAAAATAAGAAAACTGGTGAAAACCGCAAGTCTGAATCTTTATCCTAGCCCAAAATATAAATAAACAAATATTTTCAATAAAAACATTTTCAGAAAAAAACCATCTTGCCTTCCTTTTCGGGATGAAACAAAAAAAATCTTATTTTTTTACGGCGCTATAAAATTAGTAAGAAGAAGAACTAATTGTGTGTCTGAAAGTAGCTACCAATCCACGATATCAAGAATTGAAATTGAATTGAACTATAGTTATTTACATTCCAAGCTGCGAAAGCTTACTTTTAGGTGCGAGGTGTATTTAATACCTCCGAACACCTAAATAGTTACATATTTATATTTCAAGCTGCGAAAGCTTACTTTTAGGTGCGTGTATTCAAATAGCCGAGGCGAAGCAAAGCGCAGCCTCGGCTATTTGAATACCTCCGAGCACCTAAAAGGGCTTTTGCAGCCGTAGCGTGTAATGTATCAAACTCTTCATTGTTCTCCTCAGGAAGACATTTTTTTATCTTGAATAGGCAAGCGAACGCGAAAGTCAAACAAGCTAGTCATTACTTTCACTTTCGCTAAACTATTCAAGATAAAAAACATTTTATTTTGAACCATATATGTAATTAATGCATTCCCTACTGGTTTGAAGATTTGAAAATGTCATTTTACTTCTGTTTACTTTAAAGCAGGCCAGAAGTGACTGTTCTGCTGTCACTTTCGGCCTGCACAACTCACTTCCGGCCCTGATAAATTGTTCTATTTCACCTTAACACAAATCCAGGTGCAATGTTTGTATTTAGAAGTAGATGTCACGTGTTTATATTGTTGAAAATTCATAAAATGCCAATGTCGGTGTCAGACTGTCATTCGAAATTCAATTTTTGTCATATTTTTACCCTATTTTTTCCAATAATTAATGGTTCAAAATAGAATAGTATTCATAATTTGGTGGAACATTTTCACATTATTAATTGTCTCGAGAATTGAGTGACCTCGGTCAACCATAGTATCTCTCGACAATAATAAAACACTTTCCACCTCCGCATGTAATATACTATTATTTAGGTACAATCATACATGTAAAGTTAACTTTTCTGACTTTTGAAAATGTCACTTTTTGACTTTCACTTTTCACCCATGGGTTGAAAGTTTACTTTTCTCCCGTGGGCTGAAAGTAAGTGAAATTGTTGAAATTTATTGTATTTTTTTTGTTTTCATTGAAATAAAAATTACAAAATTCGAATGATTATAAATAAAATAGTATACAACCTTGGTTAAAAGTTTCATTACTGTCTCGAGATTTTAATTAAACCATAGTCTAAGACTGAACCTCGGCTGCGCCTCGGTTTAACCTTTGTGAAATCTTTCGATAGTTACAAAACACTTTCCACCTCGATATGTAATATACTATTCCTGAGGGGAAGAATGAAAAGTTTAATACGTTACACGCTACAAAAGCCCTTTTCATTCACCCCCCTACAAAAGTGGATTTTTTTATCTTGCATAAGCGAGCGAAAGCGAAAGTGAAACATGCTAGTAGTTACTTTCACTTTCGCTACTAGCATGTTTCATTTTCACATACCTATTCGCGATTTTTGAAGGGAAAGGATGAAAAGTTTAATACATTACACGCTGCAAAAATCCTGTTAGGTGCTCGGAGGTATTCAAATAGCCGAGGCTGCGCTTCGCTTCGCCTCGGCTATTTGAATATACCTCGCATCTGAAAGTACGCTTTCGCAGCTCGGAATGTAAACAACTATTTAGGTGTTCTGAGGTATTAAATACACCTCGCACCTTAAAGTGCGCTTTCGCAACTTGGAATTTAAATAACTATAGTTCAATTCAATTTCAATTCTTGATATCGTGGATTGGTAGCTAGTTTCAGACACACAAATTAGTTCTTCTTCTTACTAATTTTATACCGCCGTAAAAAAATAGGATTTTTTTTGTTTCATCCCGAAAAGGAAGACAAGATGGTTTTTTTTCTAAAAATGTTCTTATTAAAAATATTTGTTTATTTATATTTTGGGCTAGGACGAAGATTCAGACTTGCGGTTTTCACCAGTTTCCTTATTTTTTCATCCTCTTTCCATCTAAATTATAAAAAAACATCATTATATTTGAAATTTCCAAGAAAAAATGGAAAATTGTCGACTTTTAGACACAACGCCCCCTAGCGGCAACAAAACAATTCAATTTTGTCATTTTTATCATGCATTTCATTAAACAGAAAAAAACTCTTCCAAATGACACTAGATTCATTTAAATCGGTTGAAAAACAAAAAAGTTATATAACTTTTGTTACTGACAAGTTTGAACCTTCCCCCACCTCTTATTTGAAGAGTTAGAGCAAAAAATCCTTAACAAAATTTTTTCGTAATCTCATCAAGATTTCAATAATCATATTTTTGGGATACCTTAAGTGGGCGTTTTTTGAAGATAATCACAGTATTATGTTTTTGAGTGTTCGTTGCGCCCCCCTAGCGGTCAACTTACAAACTTGAAAACTATTTCCAGCAATTTTTCATGGCCTATTTTATAAAAAAAAAATTTTACTTGGAAGCTCTAGGACTAATAGTTCCTGAGATATAGCCGGCGACCTTTCTTATTTGGACACCTGGTACAATCCACACTGTAAGCAGTTTATATAACGTAACTCATTTTAGTCTGTTCAAGTTACGTAATAAGTTGTATTATCGTACTTAGTGATGTAATGAGCTCATTACGTAACTCATTTTTATTGAAAAACGGCACTTTTTAAAATTCATTTCGAATACATAAAAAAATCTGGGTCGGTACATAAAATATTGTATATCGCACGTACGGTAACGCTCCTTACATCACTCGTGTGAATACCACGACTCGGGCAATATTTCCCACTCGTTACTGTAATGAAGCGCATTCCGTAGGTACTAGTAATATAAATAACTATTATTATCCAATAATTACAGTGAGAAAATGAATGAAGATAGGAGGAAACGAACTTTACTTTACTGTCCTAACTTTTCAAGAGCTACTCAAAGGTTATAATGGTGGTACCAATTGAGGTACTTTCCAAATTTGGTATCCATGGTACCGTCATCGAGACCACCATGATTTAATCCAATTATTTAGCCTCTTCTCAGATATTAAACTCTTGAAAAGTTAGGATAGGAAAATGAAACTCATTTTTTTCTATCTTTGGCTGTTCTGCCACTGTAATTAGACAATCCAATCCAACTGTCAATATAAAAATTCAATATGGCGTGGCGGCCAAGCAAGTTTATTTTGAATATGTGTTTTTATACGTATTTTAATTATTTTGCTTCAAGTTTTGCTTGCAACTTTGATTTTGATTATTTAATAAAATATTTGTTGATTAGATACGTAAACTCTTTAACACAATTTTATCTCAGGAACTATAAGTCCAAATGAGTTGAAATTTTCAGGGATTGTAATCCTCTACTGGAATAAGAATCGCTCAAAATTTCAGCTTTCTATCTGTAAAACATTACCTATGCAACATATTACCCAATATGTTTCTAGAATTTTATGTAGAATCCAAAATTTACATAATATATAGGGGTGTCCCATTTGAAACAAATACCTTAATATTTTACTGTAACTCCTTGTCTCATTTTGTTTATGTAACATTATTTTTACTTTATAGATTCTTGTTAACCCTATAACTTCGCTATACATTGAGCTTTACTGAAGTAAAATGTCAAATAACGACTATATAATAGAAAATTTCATAATATGTCCTTACGACAATGACGTACAATATGTAGACAAGGCCTACATTTTTTTATGGACCATTAAAAATCATAGAATCAGAACCATTTCTATACTTACAATGGTCAATAAATAAATAGAATTCCAACCATTGCAAAACTCTACCAAGATGTACAGAAAACAATATTCAACCTACTTAGGCCCGGTTTATTTACTTTCAGATAAACTTACTGGTAAATATCTGCAAGATGAATTTGAATTTACCGTTCTATAGTCTTATTGGTCGACGGACAACTGGCCAACCAAAAGGATTATAGATTGCGTTTTTATCCGTCAGATTGCATACCGACAGTCTATCAGAAGGTGAATAAACCGGCACTTAGAAAAATAAATACATAGAATAATGATAAATATGTACAAATTCAAACTATAGAATAAAATGTTTGTTTTCAACTTATAATGGTTTGTTTTTCTGGTCCAGTAACGGAAAACTTCTGCGTGTAGCCTTATATAGGTAGGTATATGTATACATTATCAAAATGGCATTACATGAAATTACATGGCAATACGATGGTATTACAGGAATTTCTTAAAGAAGCATGTAATGTCTAATACATGTACAAATTTTGGTTGAGTTGTTACCCCCTCGGATGTAAGGTAAATTGTGGTTCAATGTCATTTTGGAAAAAATCAAGCTTAAATAAACAGCATTGAAGAACTTGAAGGAATTTATGGAAAATTGGAAGAATGTATGAGAAATTTTGGGAATTTATTGGTTTTAACACTGAGCGTTATCATGAACAATTTTTGAGTTTTTTATGGAATTTGTAACAGACATTTGCAAGGAATTCGTGAGCAGTTTGGAGGAATTTACAGGTAATTTGAGGAATTATCATTTACACAAATTCAGGAAGGAATGGGGGTGGTTTACCCCTTGATATATTCCATATTATAATTACCTGATCTACAAGTTGATTTTGGGAAATTCCAATCAAATTGAAGAAAACATCACACAATGGCTTGATTTGGCATACAAGTCTAAATAATGGAGAAGTACTTAAGTCAAACATTTCATGCCAACCAATTAATTCTGCCAACTTAAAAAAGCAATAATTATTTTAAATTTAAAACAATGATTCATCCATTCTTACTCCTAAAATTTTAGGACTAATTGCCAACAGATTGAAAAACACATTTGTAATGTTATGAGCGTCAGTTACAGGTGCGTAAGCGTTCATTAGCAAAATTTTCTCGTTGTATTCTGGCTTTAGACTACCCATTACTAAAAACGAAGTTACACCCTCGGAAAATCCAATATAATTTATTTTTGGGTAGCCTGTTTGGTCTATGACGTAGTCAATCATCGCTGGTAGATCATATAAACCAATTTCATGATAACTAAAAATGAAGTTTTATAAGAATACTTTTTATTTACAACTGACATCATGCGACTTTGAACCACTGAGAAAATAAGTCTGTATTTTTTATTTATTTTTTCCAAACTCCTATTTTTATTTCAATTTTTCCTAAAGGCCGGTTTACACTTTGATTAATAGTAAGTGCAGGTGTCTAGTGCTATTGTTTAGTTGTCGAATTGTGAACGGATCTGTCAAGTAATTAGTGTTAGGTGATAAGTAGTTAAACAAAGCGGGTTCTGCCATATAACGTTATCGTAATGGTAATAGCGTTAGCGTACGTTAAGGTCAAACTCCCGAAATTTCAGATCAAAAGCACCACCGATCTAGAAATTTCCCCACGGCATCGAAAAAATTCCCAGGCTCAGGTGCCCCGTTATTACTGCCAGACAGGCTATCAGCTTTGGCTGCTAGCTGTTAGATAGTGACACATGAAGCCGCCATTAACACCTGTACTACCTACCACCCAAGCCCACAGTCAGATAGCACACTTAACGTACGCTTACCCTAACGCTATTACCATTACGATAACATTATATCGCAGAACCCGCTTTGTTTAACTACTGTGATAAGTGCAAATGAATCAAAGCGTTTTCTATTTTTCTGTTTAGTAACACACTCAATATGTGAAATTAACATTTGACACTAAACACTTGCAGCTAACAAAATGTAAACCGGCCTTAACACTCCTACTTGATTTTTCGTTTACTCACACCCACCATTCCCTTTCCTATCCAAGTACTACTTTCTCTTTCTGACCAAGCAGCCTCTTCTTTAAATCACATTCACCATTTCACCTCTTTCCTATTAAAAGAATAAGGGCGAGTTCTCATGAGCGTAAGTTGACATACCTGACGTAATCACGTGATAAAATGGTTGGGTTTTATTGGTAAAATATTCGCCATGATGGATATTTTACCAATCAAATTACACCATATTATCACGTGATTGTCGTGATTACGCCAGAAATGTCAATTTACGCTCATGAGAACTCGCCCTAAAGAGTAGTGGATGTGACTAAAACCCGTATTACAACTGCGTATTTTTCCGTGAATTTCTTCATGTAGTTCAGGGAGACAACCGAAAAATTTCAAACGCAACATAAATCAGCATTATGGAAAGCAAAACTATTTTGGCACCCTGAATTACATGAAGAAATACAAGTAAAAATACACATATGTAATATGGGCTTAAGAGAGGAGGGTGTTTTTGCGAAAATTAGAGGTTGAAGTGTGGGAAATAAACAGAAGTAGAGACAATGGGGCAAAAGAAATGATTACCTCATCAATGGTTTTCCTTAGCTACTTAGTTTCTCATTTTGGCCTGTTGAATCAAAAACTGAATACAATACTGTAATATATGGTAACACGATTTTATTTATGGAACTATAAGTCCAAATGTGCTGAAATTTTCAGAGATTGTAGTCCTGTGAAAGGGATAAAATTCAGTAAAAGTTTCAGCTTCTTATCTATAATAGAAAAAAAGTTATGAGCTTTCAAAGTTTTCCAAAATCTAAATCATAAGGTAGGTAGGTTACCTTCTTACTAAAACGATGAAATTTAATTTTTTTTTTGTCGAGATTTTGTATCTTAATGGTCAATCAACATACCCCAAACTCCATAAACTAAATTATTTTCAGTTTTGAAGCCGAAATCTATGAAAAGAGGCACTCAGAAAAATTGTAAACTTGATAAATCACCCCAAATTGCTTAACACGATTTTATCTCAGGAACTATAAGTGCAAATGAGCTGAAATTTTCAGAGATTGTAGTCCTTTGAAAGGAATAAAATTCAGTGAAAGTTTCAGCTTTCTATCTAAAATAGAAAAAAAGTTATGACCTTTCAAAATTTTCAAAAATCTAAATCATAAGGTATCTCAGTACTAAAACGGTGAAATTTTGATTTTTTTTGTCGAGATTTTGTATCTTAATGGTCAATCAACATACTTCAAACTCTATAAATTAAATTATTCTCAGATTTGAAGCTGAAATCTATGAAAAAAGGCACTCAGAAAAAATTGAAAAATTGATAAATCACCCCAAATTGCTTAATACGATTTTATTTTTGGAACTATAGTCTATTTTCTATTATTTCTCTACGTCGTGTTATTATATTATACTGTTATTAGGTATACTGTATAATTTTTCACAGAAGTTGTACTGAAGCCAGAGGTTTACACAGTCCAAGTTCTCATAGAAGTGCACTTGGACCATACTAGGTATTACATAATTTCTATATCTCACTGATCACCAGATTTTTTACATTAACTTGCCTATAATTGAAAAATTGTTCCTTTTGTAGTGTCCCATCCAGATATTCATGATTCCTAGAATGCGTATTGCCTCTGTTATTGCCTAGCCAAACGTCGTAGCCCGCATCGGCCAAAATGAGGCCTATAGACTTGCCTGGGCCCATAACCACCCAATCGATGGAACTCAATAATAAACCTAAAATAAATATTTACTATATAAAATGAATAGTTTTATTTATTATTACTAACCATGCATTAGAAATACTGGTGGTTTATTTGATTTTTTATTTGGTATACGATGCATTGTTAAAATATATCCATCGTTTGTTTTAACTTGATGAGTTTCAATTGGGTAATCATGTGACTTGAGGAATTGTTTCTAGAATAAATTCCAAATAATATTTAAATAAATAAGTAAAAATAACTCACAATATTTCCAATTTTAGGCTCATACCAGGATTCTGGAACAATCAATTTCCACTTGTACACAAGCAAACCTACAAACAAGATAAACAAAGCAATTTTTCTCATGTTCAATCCTATTTATTAGTGCTTTATAACTGAAGTCCAAAAACCAACTAACAAACTGTATTGTTTTGATAATGATATTCGTTTGATTAAATTTGAACTTTTCAACCCAATTAAAATGGATTTATGTTTTTTTCAGAAACGATTCATTTTTGGAGCCTTACCTTCAGAGCCTAAATAACCGTCACAGCGTTTCGGTAGGAGCTCCTTCACCTTCACCACCTCCATTAAGGGCCATCGGACCTCCTATTGTAAACTCTTCAAGAGAATCTTTGATTTCTTCAAATGGAGGTTCGGATGCTAGCAGTGAAGGTAGCGAGGAAGAAGGTAATTAATATTTTTTGTTTTCAATTTCCTGTTTCCTAAACCGCGATAATTTTATTTATAAAAGCTAAATTTTTATTATTTAAACCGCACTCGATAGATAGTAACAGTGATAGTATTATACCTAATGCATCCTTTGATTGAATTATTATTAAATTGTAAGTTTTATAGTGTGTTCTGATATAAGATTGTTCTATTTTATTCTCCGTAGGTTATGGTGCAACATGTGATATTAGTCTTATGGAACGCCTAGTGCTTTCCCACCCAATTTGGTTTTTGCCTGGAATCCAACGAGCCGGAGCTTTCCATTTGCTCCAAGGCAAAGAAGAGGGTTGTTTCGTTGTGCGAAAATCTTCACAATCAGATACGATGGCTCTATCTGTTAGACTTCCTCCAGATAAAGGTAAGTTATTAATGATTTTATTGGATTTTTTGAAAAACTATATTGATTTTTCTATAGGCCCGTATATTGAGCACTACTTGATTCACAGCTCAGAAGGAAGATTAGGCCTGGAAACGAGCGAAAATCGCTTTGTAGACATGGCTGCACTTATAGCTCATTATGCAAGTTGTTGCGACGAGTTACCAGTACAATTAATATTGCCCAAATCCATTAGAGACTCAAAAAGTAGGCAACAACTATCGTCTTTGGCTTTACTAGGACAAGTAAGATTTTTTTATATAGATAATATGTTTCAGATTAAAAAGATATTTTTATTTATAGGAATTCTGGAGTTATAGTCCTCCGCCTTCTTCAGCTTCAAGCCCAGACGCTGATTTGGTACTCAATCTTAATCCTCTAATGAGTACTTTCAAGCAAGCGGAACCTTCGACTATGGTACAATCGAAACCTACAAGACCAAACACCCTAAATTTGCTCAACAAAAACGATCCTAATAATTCGGAGATAATGCGGAGCATGTCGTCACTAAATAAGGGGGATTCGTTAGGGAAAAATCCACCACCGCCACCACCAAGGTAGACTTTATGTTATACAATTTTATTCTTTTGAAAAATTTGCTTGTATAGGGTGTGTCAAGTTGACAGGCTCTGATCTTATTAACCCGAACACAGGCTGCTTGTTTTTCGGCCTTTGTTTCAATTATGGAAAAAGACAAATTTCATCTGTTCCACTACTGGTTTTCGATACGTCCGTGTATATTGAAACCGTTGGGATAGCCTATGCTTCATCCAACTTATAGACACTGTAGGATCTTTTTGTTATCTGTGTGGGCATCGTGCGGTCCACTGCCCTCGTTTTTACTTATCTGGCTCTGGGCCACCAGACAAGAGCTGCATAGCAAACCATTGGTCTTATGATAGCAGTGTATATCCACAGTGCGATTTTGGGTGTGAGGCCCCATGACCTGCTCATTGCCCTGCGGTACTGCCACATGACCATGTTCGCTTTTTCCGTTTTTACCTCAATGTTTCTTTTCCAGCTGAGCTTTTGATCAAGCATTACTACTCCCAGATACTTGACCTCTGAGGTCAGCTGTAGACTGGTATTATTTAGCCTGGGTATTTGCATACCACTTAGCTTTCTTTTCCTGGTGAAGAGGATCAACTCCGTTTTCAGTGGATTCACCGTCAGGGAGTGCTCCTCACACCAAGATGAAATTTGGTTTAGAGCCGTTTGTGTAAAAAATGTACCAAAAAAAAAGGAAAAAAATCAAAAGGTAGCAAAATTCAGCAATCATTTATGATATGAAAGCAGATATTTTAAACCTTATAAAATGTTAGGGAAATGTTGAATAATTAATTAAAATTAACAAATCTGAAGTTATTTTTCCAAGAGTCTGTTTTTTTTTTAAGATTTCCCATGATTTCTTTAAGATTTGTCCCAAATTCCTTGAAATTTCCTGAAGATTTCTTATGATTTCATCTAATTTTCCATGATTTCCTTAAGATTTGCCTTAAGTTCCTTCAAGAATTCTCTTGATTTCTTCAAGATTTCTTCTAATTTCTTTGGATTTCATCTGATTTCCTCGAATTTCCTCTTGATTTTCCCTAATTTGTGCATCAGGTTTTAGTTTTGAAAAAACTCATGTATCATGAATTTTTTCTGTTCACAAGTAAGATTGGGTCAATTAAGTTAGCCCCCCCATAGAAAATTTCTGGATGAAAATTATCCCATAATTTTGCTCTCATTTTGCTCCACTAATTTCCATTTTTGTTCCATTACAGTGGAGAGAATATGTGGCCTATTAAGTAAGGAGGGGGGCTGAATTAACGCTAGCCCCCCCCCCCCAATGAAAGTTAGGAAATTTGATCATGCTCATTTTGTTCTCCGAGTTTTGCTCCATTATCGGCGAGTTTTGCTCCATTACCAGGAGAGACCTGCAGAGCTCCCAAGAATCTCAGCCCCCCCAGTGAGAATTCAGAAATTTGATCATGTTCATTTTGTTTTCCGAGTTTTGTTCCATTTTGCTCCATGATGGGCGAGTTTTGCTCCATTACCAGAAATGACCTACAGAGCTCCCAAAAATCTTTCCCAGCCCCCCCCCCCCCCCCCAGGGAAAATTTTGAAATTTGATCATGCCCATTTTGTTCTCCGAGTTTTGCTCCATTTTGCTCCATAATCCGCGAGTTTTGCTCTATTACCAGGAGAGACCTACAGAGCTCCCAAAAATCTCTCCGGAGGGGCTAGGATACATTTTTGGGAGCTCTGTAGGTCTCTCCTGATAATAGAGCAAAACTCGCCGATAATGGAGTAAAACTCGGAGAACAAAATGAGCATGATCAAATTTCTGAATTTTCACTGGGGGGGGGGGCTAGCGCTAATTCAGCCCCCCCTCACCTAATAGGCCACATAGTCTCTCCACTGTAATGGAGCAAACATCGAAATTAGTAGAGCAAAATGGAGCAAAATGAGAGCAAAATTATGGGATAATTTTCATCCATCCAGAAATTTTCTATGGGAGGGGCTAACTTAACTGACCCAGTAAGATTGCCCAAAGAGTTCCCCTGATAACATAACATCAATTTATAAATATTTTTAAAAACTGCACATGCGTTAAATCTCGATATTGACTGATTTCCTTAAGATTTTTCATGATTTCCTCCCAAAAACACTTCGCCCGCTTCGTGTGGTTCGAGAAAATAGACCCGCGGTTTTTCGTTTGCCGCGACCGGTTAAATCAAGACGGTTTCGTTGCACCTCTACGCATTAGACCTGAACTTCCTGAATGAGCTGGCCAGCTGAGTGGAGTTTGGAAGTAGAGCAAGGTAAGGTGGAAAAATATCCTTTTCAGTTTCGATATCTTTCAATTTCATGTTAAAATCTTTCATTGATTAGCATTCTATCAGCAACCTGTGAATTTTCCAGTTTCAATTTCGCACATTAATTTGGTTCTTCTCTTCGATTTCCTTGTGATTGCTTTAAATTTCCTCGGATCTCTTCTTGATTTCCCTAATTTGAATACCAGATTTCCCTTGTAGTTTATCACTGATTTTGGCAATTTTGGATGATTTCCTCAATTTCTTCTGATTACGAATAAGATTACACAAGATTTCCCTTGATAACAGAACCTTAAATTATAAAGACTTCGAAAACTGCCCATGCGTTAGATCTCGAGACTCACTGATCTCCCTAAGATTTTCCATGATTTCCTTAAGATTTGACATGGGATCTTCAAGATTTTCTATTAATTTCCTTGTGATCCCCTCTGATTGCTTTAGGTTTTCTCGGATCTCCTCTTAATTTTCCTAATTTGCATACCAGATTTCCCTTCTGATTTACTACTGAGGGGTCAGTTTTTGTACGCCATATTGCGGTTTTAGGGAAGATTTTGGATGATTTCCTCGACTTCTTCTGATAATTAGTAAGATTGCACAAGAGTTCCTTTGATAACATAACCTCAAATTATAAAGATTTTGAAAACTGCGCATGCGTTAGATCTCGAGATTCACTGATTTCCTTAAGATTTGCCATGGGATCCTCAAGATTTTCTATTGATTTCCTTGTGATCTTCCCTGATTACTTTAGGTTTTCTCGGATCTCCTCTTAATTTTTCTAATTTGCATACCAGATTTCCCTTCTGGTTTACCACTGAGGGATCAGTTCTTGTACGCCATATTGCGGTTTTAGGGAAAATTTTAGATGATTTCCTCGATTTCTTCTGATTATCAGTAAGACAAGAGTTCCTTTGATAATATAACTTCAAATTATAAGGATTTTTAAAAACTGAGCATGCGTTAGATCTCGAGATTGACTGATTTCCTTGAGATTTCCCATGGTTTCCTTAAGATTTGCCCTGAGTTTTTTAAGATTTCTCATGATTCCTTTAGGATTTCCCCTTGTTTTGCTCATAATTTCTTCTGATTGCCTTATGATTTCTCCCGATTGCTTTAGATTTCCTCTTGATTTCCCCTGTACATTTATATGGCCTGCCTAAGAATTGTGAAATAAGCCACAGATAAATTTAAAAAGCCTAATAATTTACAACAAAAAGTGCATTTGTCAAAAAGCTGTCACACTGACAATTTTCATCATTGGTCAAAATTTCGTACTTAAATCTGGCAGCAGTGTCGCTATTTCTCTTACTCCTTCCTACTCCCTATTTTCAAAAATATAGCTTTTTGAAATCGAGAGAAATTATGCAGGAGTAGAAAAATCAGGGGGCTCCCCGGAAAGTACAATTTTCTCTCAATTCATGAATAAGGACCCTCTATCTCTATTGATTTCGAAAACAGAGAAGAGACAACAAATGTCATAACGATGGGGATAAAGATCTCTATCCATTACAGAGTCCCAGTTCAGACTTCTCTATTGCGTTTCCTCCCTCAATTGTCACGTTAAAAATTTGAATGATTAAGTATTGAATAAGATCAGTTAACCGAATCCAATTTGAAGCCATTTTGTAAGTTCCTATTGATATAAAACAATTAAAAATCGAGAAGAAAATGGCTGATTTTAAGTAAAGAGTTACTACATTCAGAGGTTGATTGATCAAGTGATTATTCCTGGATCTTGATTCAAATCAAGAGCCCGGAATAATCAAAAGTTGAACATTGAATATGATCAGTCAACTGAATCAAATGTGAAGTCATTTTGTGAGTTCCTATTGACATAAACCAATTAAAAATCAAAAAGGAAAATGGCGGATTGATACTATAGCAACATTCTAAGAGAGTAGGATTGAATAGTCTCTGGATTGGAAAATGACCTTCGATAATATCAACAGATAGATAGAGAGGATGCTAAGCTGGCGGGTCGTGAAAGTTGATACAGTAGGGGACACCATTATCAATGCTTCGATTAAGAGAGGCTGCCCACAAGGTGGTGTGTTATCACCGATCCTCTAGGACCTTGTGGTAGACAGCCTTCTATACAGCTTAAATGAAGCGGGATTCCCTACTATAGGTTACGCAGATGACTTGTGCATTCTGCTTACAGGCAAGGTTAAAAGCATTCTATGTGATCTCATGCAAACGGTTCTTAACCAAATTTCATCTTGATGTGAGGAGCACTCCCTGACGGTGAATCCACTGAAAACGGAGTTGATCCGATGATCCTCTTCACCAAGAAAAGAAAGCTAAGTGGTATGCAAATACCCAGGCTAAATAATACCAGTCTACAGCTAACCCCAAGGGTTCTTATTCTCGAAATCGGGGAACTGCGTTTTCATGAGAATGAAGGTTCTGTCTTTGTCAGCATTATGGAAATATGAATATGAGCGACGAAGATGAAACCTTCGTTCTCATGAGAACGCTGCTCCCCTATTTCGAGAATAAGAACCCTGAGGTCAAGTACCTACTTGGGAGTTGTGCTTGATCAAAAGCTCAGCTGGAATAGACACATTAAGGTAAAAACGGAAAAAGCGAACATGGCCGTGTAGCAGTACCGCAGTTCGATTACGATTCTGAAAAAACGGAAACGCGTTTTATAATATGAGCATGTGCAGAATGACTCCGAACCTTAGAGCAGGTAAAGCGCTGTCCTACCGACATAAGGAGTAGGAACGCGCCATTCTGTGTATGAAACTAAAGTGAAGCCAAGTTTTTGGCATGTGTTTGGCACCAAAATACAGGTGAAGCATTGAATTGCCTATGCCGCTATTTTTTTGGTGCCAGAATACCTGGAAAATCACGGCTTCATTTTCCAACTTCATGTTACTATACTCCTCTTTCCGAACTATGTAGTTCTGAGTGAAGCCAAAACAAAGCTACTCTGTCACTAACACCGACGTGAACCCTCATCTACCTGGGATTTAGGTGCCTGATATTGATATGTGAACCTTCTTCCTGGGATTCATCTTGCCTGATATTGATACGTGATCCCTCTACCACTGGGATTCACCTGGCTTTTTTCCTAGACCACCCCAAAATTGTATTCTGAATAGACCATAAACCCACACACATCAATAAAGTCTGTTTTTTTTCAAAGATAATGCCCCAAGTCAAAAATTTAGTAACTATGTTGGCAGCACAAGCCTTTTCTACATAAAAAATTTGAAAGCTTGACAATTTTACATTGTATTGCCAACATAATGTCATTTTGACTTTTATCTTTAAAAAAAAACAGATTTTACTTACTGATAAATCGCAACGCCGCCTTCTGATCGTGCGCGACAAGAGTCTTGTATAATACCTTTAATGAAAGTTGTTCAGTAGGTTACTCTCGACATTTCTACCTGCATGCTTTTTTTCTGTCACATCCTGTATGTGATTGCATATTTGGATTCTACAGTACAATATTTCAAAAATATGTCATTTCTTAGCTTTCATTATCTCGGAAGCAGTTGAAAAAAAGTGGAAATTTCAAATACAAAAAATAATTCATAATTTGCTCAGTAAAATCCAAATATGCAACCACATACAGAGTATTAAAAAAAACAAAGTTGGTCTGAATCAGAATTTGCAGGAAACTTTCACATTAGGGTCACTCTTTTGTATATGAGCTATGATTTTTTTGCCACTCTGTATACAGATTTTTATGATGTTTCGTTTTACAGGTGGTCCAAACCAACAACACCCCAAAACAATTTCACCGTAACCACAACTGTAACTTTCAGCGTAAACGCCCAAAGTCCTAGTAACGAGAGACCAACACAGTCACAAGTAAATATATTTTTTTCATTAATTTATTAATGCCAATAAACAAATTTCAGGTGGAAGTGATCCATTGCGACCCGAAACGAATGTCTCCGGAAGGCCAATGCAATAACTCAACCGTATCATCCAGAGGCAGTATTCGAAATAAAAGCTTAAGCAATCTGACGTCACCGAATTCGATTTTATCTCCAAGTTCTGATAGTGTTTTGTCACCAGATACACTGTCACCTTTATCTGTTAGTAAAGGATCTAGACACAGTAAAAGGAATAAACCAAAATTATCCAAACATTATCAGGTAATAATTTAATTGACAATATTTTCAATAATAATAATAATGTTTTAATTTTATATAGGAAAGCGATATTATTGACTCACCAACAATGCTCTACTACAAGAGCGGTTTAGGTGACAAAATCAGCGATTACGAAGACGTATGGGCCAATGACGGTACTTTAATCAAACCAAAGAGCAATTTAGCTTCTCCAGACATCTTGCAACACACACCACTAAACAACAACATTCTAAGTCCTACAGAATCTACTCAATGCAATACTCCAGTGCAAAATAATCCCGCAGACATTGAAACTGCCCCAAAACAAAAAAGCCCTTTTTACGCAGAACCTGCTGATTCGTTATCATCAATTCCCAAAAGAATTATAACAAGACCAGCCCCAGGTATTCCTTTGCATCATAGACATTCGAATCCTCCAATGAAAATATTGAGTCCTACTGACAATGAAATCAATATAATGTCTTCTTCAGTAGACAATCTAAGTCCGAAACAACGATTTTTGGGTTTGAAAAAGCCTGAAGCTAAAGCCGTTTTGCCTCCGTTTATAAAACCAAAAATGGCCGGAGGGAGTAGTGATATTTGGCAAGTTGATAACGGATGGAAGTTTGTCAGTAAGTAAAAATTTTAGATGTTTATTTGTAAGGCTAAACTTTATTGTTTCAGCTAATGATGCAGACATCAATATAGAATCAAGTGAGCCAGATTATGAATCTGATTGGCCCACAATTCCTAATTTATTGAGCTCCTTGGAATACACTCCTGACAGTTGCGATGATAGAGCTACTTTACATGATATGATTTCAAAAAGGTAATATTATTATTATTGAGTTTTTTTAAAACAATATTTTAAACATTTTTTTTTTTAGATATCCAACCTTGTTGGACGATGAAAAATATCGAATATCATCGTACGACAATGTGGATTTAGAGCGGAGGATGCACAGGCCTCCGCCTTCGGAAATAAGCGAAATTACAGAGTTTTCAGATCCGTGGGCGGAGCCGAATCAAGTCATAACTGAAACGGACGAGTCGTATTCTGAAACTACGACTCCGCATAAAATGAAGTGTGCTTCTATTAACCGGTCTAGGAGTTTCAAGGAGAGACTCGATCCATTACTATGTAAGAATTTTTCATTATTAAGTGTCTTTTATGAAGTAGCTAAAGTTTGTGGCGTTTGTCCATTGAATTCTTAATCATTTTTACATTCTGGATCGCTATTCACCCAGTGGCGGATACGAAAGTGGTGCTAAGAACTTTTCAATAAAATTTCATAGAAAACATTTTCCAAGCTGTCGCCATTGTTTAATTTATCGTTTTGTTTTTATCAGATACCTAAATTTGTTTTTTTACTACTAACCTGAGAAATAGTCTTTGTTCAATCTATTTTTCTAGGAAAAAATTAAACTTCTCTCCCTAGGTTAATAATGAAAAAATACCTAGGGTAATAATGAAAATGACGTCACGACGCAAGGATGCTGTCATGCTTTTATTGGTTTAATTTCAATTTCATACGTCAAATAAAAAAAAATACAGGTTCCTAACCCAAACTAACCCCCAGCTTAGAGCACAGATTACAAATTATTCATTTTCCACTAGCAGTAGTAACAAAACATCTATACATTCCTCGGTAGAGAAAGTCATTATATACCTCACGCATCACGCATTATAAAACTCAACTATTTTAGGGGAGCCCTAACGATAAAGTATTCCCTAAAATTACATTTTTACATGGAGAAATGTCAGTTTAAGGCATACCTATTGTTAAAAATAGGGCTTCCCTAAAATAGTTGTTGGAAATGGCCATTAGAAAAATTAAGAAGAAAACGAAAATTCAAGATCCGGGAATAGACAAAATATGAAATGGAAAAATTGAAAAATAAAGAATAAATAAATATATACTTAGATAATAATATTATTATTAATAATACCTGAGTAAACATCAAAAAATTTGCAAAAATATGGCGGCAGGGGCGTGGCTAACTTCTATATTCATATTCAAAATTTGCAAGAATATGGCGGCGGTACCGAATTTTTATTTGAAAAGGTTAAGTCACTGTAAGTGTGCCGAGGCCATTGGAAAGGGTTGAAAAGGAAACAACCAATCAAATACCTTGACGATACATAAACCCCGGAAAGGGGCGGGGCTCAACTAACCAATTGAATGCCCTGCTGATATCACTCGCATCTGATTGGAAAGGGGCGGGGCTTATATCCAACCTATCAAATGCTTTGTTGATATCCTTGCGTTTGATAACGAGTCAGCCACAGTGTTGCCAGCTTGACGGAATTATCCCCTTTTTGCCTTTTTGAGGAAATTTTCACGCACCAGTGCGTGAAGTAGTTTTTTTACTACTAACTTGAGAAGTAGTCATTATTACATCAATTTTTCTAGGAAAATATTGAATTTCTCTCCCTAGGTTAATAATGAAAATAATGAAAAAATACCTAGGTCAATAATGAAAATGACGTCATAACGCAAGGATATTGTCATAACGTAACAGGTTTCTATTGGTTTAATTTCAGTGTCAAATTTTCAATTTAAAAAAAAGCAGGTTTTTGTACGTACAGTGTACATTATATAGGAAATTACCGTAAGCTGTTGATAGAGGGCAGCACTTCCGACAAGAGAAAATAATTTCAGCACAGGTTTCAAACCTATTTTTTATTTTCCACCAGCAATAGTAAAAAAAAACCAACTTCTCTACCTAGGTATATAATGTACTAATTATTTTTATTTTCAATAAGTGTTTTATTATATTCCGTTTTTTGATACGTACAGGGAAGTCCAATTTGGACAGTTTTAATAGGAAACGTCTATGTCTGAGTGAGATAACTTTAGTAATTTTTTTAGGACACCCTGTATTGGACCAAATTTAAAGATTTCATAGAGCAATTTTTTTTATCTTTTAGAGGTTCCATTCAAAATTTTACACAAAAAATCCTAGTTCAATGTACAGAGTGGTGCAAAAATGGCTCTAATTACAAAAAAAAATCTGTATCTTGAATACAAAATTTGAAAAACAAATCCAGATAGAGCCTCTGACGGATCAATCAATTTTCTAATCTATACGGGGTGTATAAAAAAAAATAGAAAAAATTTCAAAAATTGATTCAAAAAAATCCTTGACTTTGGTAACTTTTTCAGAACACCCTGTATAGAGGCCAAAGGACCCCGCAATATTTAAACGGAAATTGGTTACCCGTGATATTTGAATGAAATTTAAATATGGTATTAGAAATGCCATAAGCCATGGGCGCAACCTTGTATATATGACAGGTGAGGCGGTATCGGCTGTCAAATATTGGAATTTGATATTCAAAAGCAGGGTAATTGTCGCAAATTTTGATGAAGCAAGTATCGATTCCTACTAAGTCAACCAAGGTAAATCGAAAAATGTCAACCATTTTGAAATCTGTCAAAACCCTGCCAAACGGCAGCACTCACGTTTTTCAGTTTTCAATATTTCATGATGTGTCATTTGACAATTTTAGCTTATGTAAATTCTGAGTTAAAAATTGGAAAAAAAAATTACAGAACTGTCAAAACCTGTCATTTATTTTAGTAGGAAAAAAAAATTCATATCTCGTTCTTTCTTGTTTTATGGTAGTTTATTGGTAATAAAACATCAAGCAAAGCTCATCGACATCAAATTTTGACAGCTGTCAAAATCTGAAACCTGTGTATAATTTTTTTTTATGCTTCATGATTAATAAGCATTACTTAAATAATTGGAACCGAACTAGAGTTCAGTTTTTTTTTTCAATTAAGGCTAATGTCTGATTCTGACAGCTGTCAAAATTTGATGTCTATGAGCTTTGTTTAATGTTTTATCACTAATAAACTACCTTCAAACGAAAAAGATCCAAATAGGAATCTTTTTTTTATTAAAATAAATGACAGGTTTTGACATTTCTGTAATTTTTTTTTTTTAATTTTTGAACTCAGAATTTACATAGGTTGAAACTGTCAAATGACACATCATGAAATATTGAAAACTGAAAAATATGAGTACTGCCGTTTGGTCCATGGTAAAAAATGTTGCTTACGGCATTTTTAATAACATATTTAAATTTCATCCAAATATCACGGGTAACCAATTTCCGTTTAAATATTGCGGGGTCCTTTAGAGATTTCATAAAGCAATTCAATATATTTTAGTGGCTGTATTTAAAATTTTTCATAAAAAATCCTAGTTTAATATACAGAGTGGTGCAAAAATGGCTCTAATTCCAAAAAAAAAAAATCTGTATACAAATACAAAATTGGGAAAAAAATCCAAATAGATCCTCTAATGATTCAATTAATTTTCTAAATAATTCCCATGTTTCAACTCTGTACAGGGTTTGTAAAAAAAATATGGAAATTTTCAAAAATTGATTTAAAAAAAAAACCCTCAACTTTAGAGGCTGTATTTGAAATTTTTCACAAAAAAATCCTAGTTCAATATACAGAGTGGTACAAAAATGGTTCTAATTCCAAAAAAAAACTGTATCTCGGATACAAAATTTGAAAAAAAATAATCCAGATAAAGCCTCTAATGATCCAAGTAAATTTTCTAAATAATTCCCAAGTTTCAACTTTGTACAGGGTGTTTTAAAAAAATATGGAAATTTTCAAAAATTGATTTAAAAAAAAAAACTTAATTAAATAACTATTCCAGAACACCTTGTATGGAGGCCAAATTTAGAGATTTCATAGAGCAATTGATTATCTTTTAGAGGCTCCATTTGAAATTTTGCACAAAAAAAGTCCTAGTTCAATATACAGAGTGGTGCAAAAAGGCTCTAATTCCAAAAAAAAAAAAATCTGTATCTTGAATACAAAATTCCAAAAAAAAATCTAGATAGAGCCTCTAATAATTCAATTAATTTTCTAAATATTTCCCCTGTTTCAACTCTGTACAGGGTGAGTCATTTTGGGTGGTAATGCCGGGTACAGCCTAAACGGTAATAGATACAAAAAATCTAATATACGTGTCGCGATCTATTTTTCTGAGTATACCTGAGTTAGTGGACTACTCAGAATTTATCGGACTTCTTTTGTTTACGATATACGGGGTTTTTTTGGAAAATAGCTGATTTCTGTTTTCCTCTGTATCTTAAGTAGTTATTATCAAAAATTATAAAAAATGTTAAATAACGTTTTTGTGTGATTTTTTACGTAGAATCCAGTGGCGTATTCTGATTTTTTTTAGGAGTTTTTGTGAGATATGTTCCAAATTTTAATTTTTTTAAATGGGACACCCTATATATTTTTAAATCGCCAAATTGATTTTTTTTTGTGATTGTAACGATATTTGGACTGTATCTCAAAAAATATTACACCTTTAAAAAAAAAAATGAGTACGCCACTGGATTCTATGTGAAAAATTACACGAAAACGTAATTTATTATTTTCCAAAATTTTTGATAACTGAGATACAAAGGAAAACAGAAATCAGCTATTTTCCAAAAAACCCCTGTATATCGAAAACAAATTCTGAGTGGTCCATTAAACTATACTCAAAAAAATAGATCGCGACACGTATATTAGATTTTTTGTATCTATCACAGGCTGTACCCGGTATTCCTACCCAAAATGACTCACCCTGTACAGAGTTGAAACAGGGGTGTGTAAAAAAAAATATGGAAATTTTCAAAAATTAATTGAAAAAAAATCCTCAACTTTGGTAACTTTTCCAAAACACCCTGTATAGAGGCCAAATTCAGAAATTTCATAAAGCAATTCATTATCTTCGAGAGGCTCCAATTAGAATTTTGCACAAAAAATCCTAGTTTAATATACAGAGTGGTGTAAAAATAGCTCTTAATTCCAAAAAAAAAAAATCTGTATCTTGGACACAAAATTCGAAAAAAAAAAATCCAGATAGAGTTTCTAATGATTCAATTAATTTTCTAAATAATTCTCCTGTTCCAACTCTGTACAGGGTGTGTAAAAAAAATATGAAAATTTTCAAAAATTAATTTAAAAAAAAAATCCCCAACTCTAGTAACTTTTCCAGAATACCTTGTATAGAGGCTAAATTTAGAGATTTCATAGAGCAATCCATTATCTTTCAAAGGCTTTATTTAAAATTTTGCACAAAAAATCCTGGTTCAATATACAGAGTTGTGTCAAAATGCCTCCAATTCCAAAAAAATCTGTACCTTGGACACAAAATTTAAAAAAAAAATGTTTCCACTCAGTACAGGGTGTGTAAAAATAAATATGGAATTTTTCAAAATTTGACATCAAAAAAATACTCAACTTTAATAACTTTTTCAAAACACCCTGTATAGAGACTAAATTTAGAGATTTCATAGAGCAATCCATTATCTTCTAGAGGCTCTATTTGAAATTTTGAACAAAAAATCCCAGTTCAATATACAGAGTGGTGCAAAAATGGCTCTAATTCAAAAAAAAAAAATCTGTATCTCGGATACAAAATTTAAAAAAAAATCCAGATAGAGCCTCTAATGGAGCAATAAATTTTCTAGATAATTCCCATGTTTTAACTCTGTACAGGGTGTTTGAAAAAAATATGGTAATTTTCAAAAATTGATTTAAAAAAAAATTTAAGTAACTTTTCCAGAAAACCGTGTATAGAGGCCAAATATAGATATTTCATAGAGCAATTCATTATCTTTCAGAGGCTTCCTTTAGAATTTTGGACAAAAAATACTAGTTCAATATACAGAGTGGTGCAAAAATGACTCTAATTCCAAAAAAAAAAAAAAAACTGTATCTATAATACAAAATTTGAAAAAAAAATCCAGATAGAGCCTCTGATGCATTAATCAATTTTCTAGATAATTCATATGTTTCAACTCTGTACAGGGTGTTTGAAAAAAATATGGAAATTTTCAAAAATTGATTTGCAAAAAAAAACTCAATTTAAGTAACTTTTCCAGAACACCCTGTATAGAAGCCAAATTTAGAGATTTCATAGAGCAATTCATTATCTTTCAAAGGCTCCATTTGAAATTTTCCACAAAAAATCTCAGTTCCATATACAGAGTGGTGCAAAAATGGCTCTAATTCCAAAAAAAATCTGTATCTCAAATATAAAATTTGAAGAAAAAGAAATCAAAATAGAACCTCTAATGGATCAATAATTTTTTTTTTAAATTCCCGTGTGTATAAAAAATATTGAAATTTTCAAAAATAAATTTAAAAAAAAAATCCTCAACTCGTAATTTTTTCAAAATACCTTGTATAGAGGCCAAGTTTAGAGGTTTCATAGAGCAATTCAATATCGTTTAGAGGCTGTATTTGAAACTTTGCACAAAAAATTCTAGTTCAATACCGGGTGGTCCTCCGGGAATGACATCGATTGCTTATGGGAAAACTGTGAAAGGTAAAAATTTGAAAATTTGGCAACATAGCAATGTCGATGGGGGACATCCAGGTAAAATATTTTCAAGATGGCGGCATTTCCGGTCATACCGGAAGTTGATACCAACTCGGTTATTTTAAATAGAGCACCCCGTACCTATATTAATGTATTTTTGGATTCTACATGAAATTCTGAGCAGATTTCATGAAATATACCCTATACCTAAGTTCAACTGTTTTGGAAATATTGACAGTTGAAAATTGATTTTTTGCAACTTTGACAGACTGTAAAACCTAATTGGTTAATTTTAGAGGAAAACCAATTTGACATTCCTGTCTTAGATTTTCATAAACTATCATTTGACACCAACTTTGAACTTGACCGGAGATTAAATTTAACTGAAATTTTTAATCATGGATTTAATTCAAAGTTGGTGTCAAATGATAGTTTATAAAAATCTAAGATAGGAATGTAAAATCGGGTTTCCTCTAAAATTAACCGTTCAGGTTTTACAGCCTGTCAAAGTTGCAAAAAATCAATTTTCAACTGTCAATATTTCCAAAACAGTTGAACTTAGGTATAGGGTATATTACATGAAATCTGCTCAGAATTTTATGTAAAATCCAAAAATACATTAATATACGGGGTGTTCTATTTAAAATAACCGAGTTGGTATCAACTTCCGGTATGACCGGAAGTGCCGCCATCTTGAAAATATTTTACCTGGATGTCCCCCATCGACATTGCTATGTTGCCAAATTTTCAAATTTTTACCTTTCACAGTTTTCCCATAAGCAATCGATGTCATTCCCGGAGGACCACCCTGTATACAGAGTGGTACAAAAATGGCTCTAATTTCAAAAAAAAAATCTGTATCTCAGATACAAAATTTGAAAAAAAAAAATCCAGATAGAGCCATATTTTAACTCTGTAAAAAAAATTGATTTGAAAAAAAAATTAAGTAACTTCCAGAAAACCGTGTATAGAGGCCAAATTTAGAGATTTCATAGAGCAATTCATTATCTTCTAGAGGTTCCAATTAGAATTTTGCACAAAAAATCCTAGTTTAATATACCTACAGAGTGGTGCAAAAATTCCCATGTTTCATCTCTGTATAAGGTGTGTAAAAAAAAAATATGAAAATTTTGAAAAATTGATTAAAAAAAAAAATCCTCAGCTTCAGTAATTTTTTTAAAACACCCTGTATAGAGGCCAACAATTCAGAACGATGTTTTCTGAGTCACTTACTCAGCAGGATATTTTTCTGAGACAACTACTCGGAACGGTTTTTTTCTGATGGGAACCAAAATGAAGTATTTTCTCAAGTCAACTACTCAAAGTGATGTTTTTTTTTTTGAGTCAATTACTCAGAATGATGTTTTTCTGAATCATCTACTCAAAACGATGTTTCAACAGAATCAACATCTCAGAACGATGTTTTTTGAGTCACTTGCTCAGTACGATATTTTTCTGAGCCAACTATTCAGAACAGTCTCTAAAATTGAAAAATTGAAAATTTTCCAAAAATGACAATGAGATAGTTTTTGCCTCACAATTGCGTTAATTTTCATCCGATTTCAATTTAATTAAGCTCTAATTAAAGACAAGAAAATTCTCTAAAAACATTATAATTAAGATTGTAATTTGGTTTCCAAAGTTTTTGACACAAAAAGCCCAAAGGCCACTGGGTTTTTGTCAATATTGACGGTGGGTTTTTGTGGTAAAAACTCTCTGGGTTTTTGAAATTGCCAACCCTGCACTTTACTGTATCATTTTCCATCTTCCCTTGTTACGTTGTGATTTATTGGCTGTCTTGTTTTCTAATTGTATGCCCAGAACTTATTTTTGTTGCCTTATTTTATTCCTTTCAATGTCTGTTTTCATCAGTATTTAGCTTTCTGATGCTTATGTGAGTGCTAACTCAATGCTGTATTATAATACTTTACAAGTTTAAAACCAAACTTGTTTTTTTCCAGCTCCAAATCGAATTGAATCTCTAAAAAACGGAGCCGAAGACAATAATACATCAAGAACGGCAGGCGCAGCGATCAGAAACTACGCCATGGAATTAGCTCAAGACAAAACCACAACATTTGCTCAAAACATAGACAATTTTATAGCTTGCACGTGCGAATCGAAAGAAAACAACCCGCAAATCGTTATGAGAAACATGAGGCAATTTATGTCAGGGATGAAAAATTATTTGGTCAAACACGGAGAGAAGGGATTTTACAAAGAAATTGAACGAGAGAGAAATAAGGTAAAATTTCAACAATTTTGAAAAAAATTATTGCATTATAATGCTTTTATTTTTTGTAGCTCAAATCAACAGAATTCCTTAATCTAGACGCCATTTTAGAAGGCGTCATGCATAAACTAGTAGTTAGACCATTAAAAAACCATCTCAATAAATTATTTATGGATTACTATACCAAGACTGGAGCTATAAGGTTGCTGGCTGACAATATCGAATATGTGTCTAAAAGGCCTGTGGCTGAATTAGCAATAAAACCAAAAATAACTTTACCCTCTGAGAGTGTTTTAAATAAAATTTCTCAATATATACATCGGCTGCAACAGGCTGATTCTCCTCTGGAAAAACTGGAAAACTTATTAGCCGCAATAGCAATAATTTTCAATTCGGTCAAAACTGGTCAGCTAATTGGTCAACTGGGTGCCGACGATTTCTTGCCAATTTTCGTATGGGTTTTGGTAAAAACCAACTTTGTAGCTGCTGAAATCGAAGCCGAATACATGTGGGGACTTTTGCATCCTTCCTTATTTTCCGGCGAGGGTGGTTACTACTTAACTACTTTATCATCAGCCGTACACGTACTTAAAAATTTCAAAAAAAGCTGCGAGGAAAATAACAAAAATCATGAAAACGATGTAAGAATTTTCAATAATGATGTTTTGATTGTTGAATAATTTTGTTGTTTTTAGTCTGTTTTAAAAGTCGTTGTTCCTGATGAACTCCATGGCTCAATTTTAACCAAAACTGTTCCTGCAAGGCCTCAAATGACCACAAAGGAAGTTTGTAAAATTATCGCTCATAAAGCAAGGATTACAAATCCGCAGGATTATGCTTTATATAGACTTACTGATGGAGAAGGTAAAATTTCACATTAATAATCTAGATTTGTTCAATTAACATATTTCTTCTAGAAACAATCTTGATGGATAATGAATGTCCTCAGGATTTTATGAAAGAAGGCAAACATACAATGTTGGCGTACAAAAGGATCGATGCAAAAATTGCCTGGCCCACTCAGGACAAGCTCAATCTCTAGTCATTTTGTTAATTTTTGTAAACAATAATATGTATGTAACAATAACTTTTTGATATAAACATTTTAACAAGTTTCTACCTTTCTTATCAGAGTAGCTGAAAAAAAATGTACTGTGAATTATTGTGTTTTTTAATTTAAATAATAATTTATTAACAATAAATTAATATATTCTTGATTTGTTTTTATTCGTTGGTATGTGGCAGCCAATGTAACATACTCATCAGACTGTTTTTGTACAATCTCATTTCAGGAATGCTTTCGTTTAATTGAATATTGACAACCTCGTGGTAATAATGTTGGCTCACTTCTTTTCTTATTAAGGGATGTTCACAAATACACGTTAAAGCCTTAAAATAAATAAATCAATAAATTCAGGTGACAAAAAAAATAATGTAAACTTACCTTAATGGCATACATTTGGCAATTAGGTCTGAGTTTATTTTTGCACAGTTGCGCCAATCTTTTAGGTAGGCCCTTAATTTGGCTGGCTCTGTTTTTTTCTGAACTTATTATGGTGCAAAACATTATGGCTTGAGCTGCAGCTGTATGGACTTCAACCCTCTTAAAGAGACGATATGTAAATTACGTAATTTTATCTCAGGAACTATAAGTGCATATAAGCTGAAATTTTCAGGGATTGTAGTCCTCTACTGGAATAAGAATCGCTGAAAATTTCAGCTTTCTATCTATAATAGAAAAAAAGTTATGACTTTTCAAAGGTTTCCAAAATCTAAATCATATACTTATCCAGAATACCACCGACTTTCTCTTTTTCAGGGAAAACCTTTAACCGGTTTATCAGTGGACGGTTATCTAGTTTCACCTGTTGATAAACTAAATAATGATCATTGGTTAACCGACAGCTAAACTAGTTAACCATCCACTGGTAAACCAAACCTTAGCAAACCAATTACTTCATCGTTTAACAAGACGTTCAACTGAGGCAAAATATTCATTTGCTTGGCCATTTTCCTGCCTTCTTTTATCGAACACAATTTGGCCAAACACATACAAGCCAAAGACATAATTTTGCCTTCGTCTCTTTCCAAAAGTCTGTGCAACGCTTCGAATCCATCTTCTTCGATTGCCAGTTGTTTACCGTCACAATAAAAAAGGGAATTTAATGTTTCCAGGTGGATTTCCACAATTTTACAAACATCGTCTAAGTTGTTTAGTAGTACTTGGATAAAGCCACATTCTACCAAAACATCAGCAGCTAGAAAATTGATTATTAGTATATCCTATTCACAATCCGATGTCCACAGGTACAGGTAAATTTATCACCTTTCAATGCTATTTGATAGGGAAAGGTGATAAATTTACCTGTACTTGTGGACATCGGATTGTGAATAGGATATATGTGTTAAAAAGTAACACTAATAATTACTTTTCCAATATCTGGCAATCATTTCAATACAAGCAGCTGTTTGAAGTCTAATTTCAGTAAATTGATCCTCAACTCTATCCAAAAGGTTGTTCATTAAAGAGTCATTTTCGACAATGGCTACTTTTCCTTCAGCAACTCCGGCTATGGATTTTAAAGCGTGAGCTGTTTTCTCTCTTACCGAGGAAGTTTCGTGGTAGATTAAATCTACCATTCTAAAATAAATAGATTTTTATAATAATTTTTTGGTTTATTTTATATTACCTGTCTAATATCTTCAACTTGATAGCCTCATAACAACGTTCAGGATCGTGCACTAAATCAGAAATACTAGCCAAGGCTGCTGTTACAATTGTAGGATCTTTATTGTGAAGGTCCCTTCTCTACATATGTGAAATATTATAGAAGACAAAATCACAGAAAAATTCTTACCAATTTCGGCATTGCCCATTTTCCAAATCCTTCTGGTCTTTTGGTGACATCGACATTTTGTACTGGAATATTTGGATGTGCTGATGAGAGCCTGTTGAATGCGGGATCCAGATCATGTTCGTCGATATTGACGAAATCGGTCCAAGCTGAAAGAATTTTCTAGAATTTTCTTGAGGAAATGAGTAATTTTTTTACCTCTTTGTACACAACGATTTAATAATCCTGCATTGATTTCTTTGAAATTTCCTTGCAAGTAGGAGTTTTTGTGGCAGGAATACATTTTTGATGTTGATTGGATTGACAGAAATAGTTCTCCAAAGGTATTTGACAGACAGATTTTATAATTAGCTAGTACAAAAAGTTAGGGCAGGTAATAGAAAAAAAGTCCAGTTGAATTTTAAATATTTCAAGTTGCTTTGATGAATCAAAGTATTTGTCGCTTACTGGTGATTCTACAAGCATTTTTTCAGGATCAGAGTGGAAACAAAATGATCCTTTTCAGAGCATAAATCGACTCCCGCCGAATTGATTTTTTACTGAAAGAAACTCCAATTTATAAATTCTGAAACTTTCAAGTCGTTGTGATTAGTGAAAGTGTCCATCACAGACTCTCAAAAGTGATTCTACAGGAATTTAATTTTTTTTTAGAAAAGACTCACTCGCCTTCGGCTCGTGTTTGAATTTTCATTCTCGTGAATAATCGCTATTATTATAGACTTGTTGAAGAATATACTATTATCATACTTACTGGTGATTTTACAGGAATTGGGAATATCATGATTTTTTCAGTATCAAGGTGGAAACAAAATGATCCTTTTCAGAGCATGAAATCAACTTCCGAATTGATTTTTAACTGAAAGAAACTACAATTTATGAATTCTGAAACTTTCAAGTCGTTCTGATTGGTGAAAGTCTTTATCACAGACTTTCCGAGGTGATTTTACAGAAATTTTACGATTTTTCTAGAATTGAAGTAGAGTTCCCTTTCAAAACGTCATATCAATTTCTGATTTCACCTGGAATTTGGAAAAGACTCCATTTATGAATTTTGAAAATTTCAAGTTGCTATATGATGAGTCAAAGTATTTATCACTGACTGATGATTTTACAGGAATATCATGATTTTTTTCAGGATCAAATTATAAACTTATTGACCCTCTAGAGCATGAAATCAACTTCCGAATTGATTTTTAACTGAAAGAAACTCCAAATTATGAATTCTGAAACTTTCAAGTCGTTGTGATTGGTGAAAGTCTTTATCACAGGCTTTCAAAGGTGATTTTAAAGGGATTTTACGATTTTTTTAGAATTAAAGTAGAAATTCCTTTCGAAACGTGATATCAATTTCCGATTTTTCTTGGAAAAGACTCCAATTTATGAATTCTGAAAATTTCAAAGTTGCTCTGATGAGTCAAAGTGTTTATCATTGACTGGTGATTCTACAGGAATATCATGAATTTTTCAGGATCAATCAGGGAACAAAATGATCCTTTTCAGAACATAAAATCAACTTCCGAATTGATTTTTAACTGAAAAGAACTCCAATTTATTAATTCTGGAACTTTCAAGTTATTTTTGATTGGTGGAACTCTTCATCACAAAGACGATTTTACAGGAATTTTAGTAATTTTACGATTTTTCCAGGTGCGATAGAGAAAAAGTGTCAATGTTTTAAACCTTCACATTTTCTCTATTCCTGGCTCTTGAAGATTCTCTATTTCAAAAGCCGATAATAAATAAAAATTGAGCAGAGAAGAAGTGTCAATGTTGTAAACCTTCATATTTTCTCTATTCCAGGCTCTTAAAGGTTTTTTATTTCAAGAGCCGGCGATAAACAAAAATTGAGCTAGAAAAATTAAGAGATAAAGCGAAGAACTTTAAGCGGAATTAATTTTCTATTATAGAGACTTTTAAGGTGCGTATCAAATTATCAATACACTTTTGATGAAGGTGCATATCGAATTTGTTATAGGTATGGAATAGAGAAAAAGTCTCAATGTTTAAAACCTTCATATTTTCTCTATTCCTGGCTCTTAAAGGTTTTTTATTTCAAGAGCCGGTGATAAACAAAAATTGAGCTGGGAAAATTAAGAGATAAAGCGAAGAACTTTAAGCGGAATTAATTTTCTATTATAGAGACTTTTAAGGTGCGTATCAAATTATCAATACACTTTTGATGAAGGTGCATTCGAATTTGTTATAGGTATGGAATAGAGAAAAAGTGTCAATGATTAAAACCTTCATATTTTCTCTATTCCTGGCTCTTGAAGGTTATCTATTTCAAGAGCTGGTAATAAACACAAATTGAGCTGGGAAAATTAAGAGATAGAGAGAAGAACTTTAAACGGAATTTATTTATTTATTTTAAACACTAGTACCTACTGAAATAATGAAATTTCAAATTTCTTTATGGTGAGATTTTGTATCTAAATGATCATTCGGGACCTCTCAAACACCAAACACTGAAATATGTTGAGATTTGAAATTGATATTTATGAAAGAAGGTACCTACTCAGTAAATTAAAAAACTGATAAATTTACTTCAGAGCTGAAATTTTCAGGGATTGTAGTTCCTTGATTGGGATAAAATTCAGTGAAAGTTTCAGCTTTCTATCAATAATAGAAAAAAAGTTATGACTTTTCAAAGTTTTCCAAAATCTAAATCATAAGGTAGGTACCTATCTTCTTACTAAATCGATGAAATTTCAATTTTTTTGTGTCGAGATTTTGTATCCTAATGGTCAATCAACATACCCCAAACTCCATACACAAAATTATTCTCAGATTTGAAGCCGTAATCTATGAAAAAAGCACTCAGAAAAATTGATAAATCACCCCAAATTGCTTAACACGATTTTATCTCAAGAACTATAAGTGCAGATGAGCTGAAATTTTCAGGAATTGTAGTCCTCCACAGGGATAAGAATCGCTGAAAATTTCAACTTTCCATCTCTTATAGGAAAAAAGTTATGACTTTTCAAAGTTTCTAAAAATACAAATCATAAGGTAGCTGCTTTAGTACTGAACCGAGGGGTAAATGGTAAATCACTACATAAAAGTTGTACACAAAAATTATCCTGTCAGAAAAATATCCAAGAAATTCCCCAAAAAGTCTTGAAATTTCCTGAATTACCTACCTACCCCTTAACTTGAAAAATTCCTGGAATTATTCTAAATTCACCGAAATTCCTCTAAATTACCCCAAAAGTCTTGAAATTTCCTGGAATACCTACCTCCTAACTTGAAAAATTCCTGGAATTATTCTAAATTCCCCGAAATTCCTCCAAAATTCTTCAAAATTCCTTTAAAGTTCCTAACAAGCAATTCGTTGTTTGATTGGAATTATACGCGTTATATTGTTACATTATACTATTGATAGTTTCTAAGTTTTCCTCGAGTCATAAATAGGGTAAAATTTAATTTGAATGCATAATGTCATATTCGAGTAGATGTGTCCTGAATTCTCAAAGTATTTTTTTGAAGTTAATTAATATTCTAACTGATGAAACTTGAAAGTTTGAAGTCGCTCTGAATTCTTGAAGTATTTTCCAGAAGCTCCCAAAGATGATTTAACAAGAAATTTTACATAAAATGTACTTGAAATAACTTGAAATATGAGGATTATGGAAACTATTGAAGATGCAGGGTGTTACGCAATCAAGTGCCTACAAATGATTGTAGTTTTTAAGCTTTTATTCCATTGAAATCAGTAGTGTTCACGATTTTTACAAAAAAAAATATTTACATAAGAAATTTATTCAGTCCACATGCTGTATAAGAAAATATGAAACCGCCTTTAATAAAAAAAATACGAGTCAATTTAGTTAATGTGTTTTGTCTATTCGGCAAATATAAATAACCATTGATAACAGATGCTTAGGTATTTCTTCAAAATTCTAAAACGACAGTTTCAGATTTTTCATTAGAGCGTTACAATACAATGGATTCAGTTAAATCCTCGTATTCAATCGACGATTCCAAACAGCGAAGTTTCGGCACGATTCTTCGGCATTTTTTTTTGAAAATTTTAAACTTATCCAAAAAGAAAACTAAAACGGATATTGAATGTGAAATGAACGAACCAATTATTGAAAATAGTAAAAGAATATTGTCTGTTGATGAAACTGTACCTTTATCTTATGAGTCTCTCAAACAAAGTATTTTGAATGAGATCAGAAAAGTTGGGAAGCAAGAATTAAATGTGGTTTTGTTGTGGTGCGCTTTTTTGGAAAAAGTTGACTTACTAGAGGAGTTAATTCATCTTGGAGCAAATATAAGGTAATAATAATCTTTTTTTATAAATTAAACATAATAATAATACCGAAAAAAAAGCTATTCAGAAAACACCTACGGTCTTAACAGTCTTCACATAGCAGCTTTCACAGGTTGCATTCAAACTACCAAAATCCTTATCAAAAATTGCAAAGATATTGACGTCATCAACAAATGGTACAGCCCTTTGCATTGCGCAACCCTTGCTGGAAAAGTGGAAACAGCCAAATTACTATTGGATAATGGAGCCAGATTGGATTCATTGACCCAGGGCCCTGAGTATGAAACCCCATTATTTATAGCAGTTAAAATCAATGCTATTGATTGCGTTCGATTATTTATTGAAAGAGGTAATCAAATTTTGATTTATAAATAAATTTTTTGAATAATTTATTACCTCCAGGTGCCCAAATCTTTCAAGAAGGAGCATTGTCACCGCTATTTTTAGCTGCAGAATTGGGATACGCAGAATGTTTAAAATTAATTTTAGAAAACAAATCAACTAACTGTCACGATTTGAAGAAATCCGATAATGGTAATACCGCTCTGCATATTGCCGCAGAAGCAGGTCACTCTGAATGTATCGAATTGTTATTGGCAAATGGAGCTGATCCAGATTCCAGAAATTCTAAAGATCAGACTGCGTTGCATTTGGCTGTCAAAGCAAATTCGTATACTTCAGTGATTGCTTTGATTAAAAATGGCAAAGCCAATCCGAATCTTGAGGATTGTAATCAGAGGACTCCGTTGCATGTAGCTGTCGAATTGATTGCTGATAGTAGGAAGGATGTTGTTAAGGCATTGATAGGGTAAGAATTTTCATAGAATATTAAAAAACAACCAACAGCTTTATTTTTATTAATGTTAGGCATTAGGAGAAATAGAACACATAGGTATTTTTATGAGAACATTAAATTTGCTTCCCTGTTTCGACGATAAGAATTCTAAAGACAACTTTGTATTGGGTTGTGGCATTACTGTTATGTTTTGGTAACTTGTTCTATATACGAATTGTTAATTTCATATAAGTATAAAGTTCTGCCATAGTAAAAGCTTCAATATTCTAGTTTCTAGTAAAAGTTCAAATTAATTCCCAATAAATAGATATGCAATGTGAGATTAAAAAATGACTGCCTACAAGGAATATGAAACATCGAATTGCGTTATTTTACTGTTTCATATTTAATCTTTTTGAGTTGAAAGAAACTCCCTTAGTTATTTATTTACATTCAATAATCAATTTATTATTCCTGGTGCGATTATCCATTGGAATCAAGAGCCGGGAATAATCTGATCATTATGATTCATTTTAAATAGTTTTTATTTTTAACATTCTAATTAAAATTAATTCGGTCGTCAAAGTCATTGTGTCACGAAAAAATGGTCGACCTCTAAAAATATTTTTGCAGATGATTTTGGTAATTAAATTTATTTTTAGACAAATTAGAAATTGTTTCGTTTAATATTTACGTTACTTTTAATAGAGATTTGGAAGCTCCAAGTGAATTTTTCAAGTTTTGCTGAGGGCCTTTGATCAAATATTTCGGCTTCACTTTATAGAAAGAAAAAAAAAATGTCTTAATAAATACATAAATAGAAAAACAAGAAAGTTAGAAGGTGAATTTAACTTTTTAGTTTCTGTATTGGCGAGTTTATAAAAAAACATTAACACTTAAACTAATTTAAGAAAATTAACTTACAACTAAGAATTTCAACATGCGTTTATGTAGGTAACTCTTAATTCTTAGTTGAAGTCTTATTTTTTTTTATGAACCGCTATGTTACATATCATAACGTCAACTATTTAAGTTAAATGTTAATTCTTATGGCAATTTCTATTTTTGTCATCAGTGCCGCACTGAGTGTATCCGCATCTTTTTCTAAAAGCATGTAACATGAAAGGATGAGAATAAATTTTTTTGCCCTAATTCGACAAATGCAAAACGCTATTAGATTGAGTGTTAATTTGTTTCTATACCTATACTCGCCAATGGCTGACGAGGAAATTCAAAAATGAGAATTTTGTCCTAAGATTACAAAAATACAAAGAAATTCCTGGCGCCATGCACGTTGTTGTTTGCACGTTGATGTATGCACGTATACGTATCAAGCCATCCACGTCCGTGTGTAACCGCCTTAATGGGCAGTTACACACGGACGTGGATGTCTTAATACATATACCTACGTGCAAACATCAACGTGCAACCAAAAACGTGCATGGCGCTTTTGTACAGACGCTCGCACAAAACTGCAATCTTGCTATTCTTGCAACAGTGTTCCGAGTGTGCATACAAAATTGCACATGCAAAAACGCGACGGTATTTTGCATACACATTGATGTTTTTGTTTGCACGTCCATGTATGTGCGTACATGTTTTCAGACATCCACCCACGTCTGTGTGTAATCGCCTTATCATTGCATAAAGTCGAAAATCGCATATTTTCGAAAATCCCAATGCACTAATAACAAGTTAACAGAAAAAAATCCCTAAAATTATTCGGCCAATAAAGTTCTTTGTTATCATTATAAACTCCGCCCCCTTTATTTTTTCTTAGCAAAAAATGGTTTTGTTTTTCTTATCAACCCATTCCCAATAATCCCAATCGACCAATGACAAATTAGGGGAAAAAATCCCTTAAGTTAGGTATTCGGCCAATAAAATTGTTTGTTATTAGTATAAATTGGTATAAGCTCCGCCCCTTTTTTTTCCAAACAATTTTTTTTTTCATTTTCCAATGCCGCCATTATTCTTACTTATTTCAAATATTTCATTGGTGCATATAGAAGTAAGCCATATTTTTACAAATTTCCAATACGAACCAATCAAAAATGGCAATTTTCATTTTTGACATGGTTGCCAATTTGAATAATTATTCACTTGTCGTCGCTGATCTGGCAAAGTGGCGTAAGCGCCAAAATTTCAAAATGTATGTTGAGAGCACCAAAAGATTCCCAGTCCGTTAATCTATGATCTGGTACACAGGCGTACATCCATTCCTTCGGGGCTAATAATAAAGTCACATTTTCAATGGGCGTAAGCGTCATCAATTTAAAATCGAAATCTAACAAAGAGGCGTAAGTCCATAACATGGACTTACGCCTATCCGCTGAATCTTTTGTAAGCAGTATTGTGTGATACGTCCCAAAGTTAAAAATGAACGGATTCTTGCATCAGTGAAAGGAAAACGGTTGAAAAACATTGTTTTTACGACTATTAGAGAATTTTTCCATTTCGACGTATTGTTTTGTGAATTCACAGAGGAGGTCACACGAACTGCCCAGCTGTATGTACTAGCTATAACAACAAAGTGACCGACGGTGGACAGGGCATTGCAGACCTTTTCTGTGAATATTTGTCAACAGTAAGTATATAAAATCGGTTGTTTTTTTTAAAGATAAAAGTTAAAATGACATTATGTTGGCAATACCATGTAAAATTGTCAATCTTTCAAATTTTTTTATCTAGAAAAGGCTCGTGTTGCTAACATGGTTACCAAATTTTTGACTTGGGGAATTATCTTTAAAAAAAAAACAGACTTTAGTAATAGTAATATTATTGTACCTGATTATAAGATTAACAACTGTATTGACTTTGAAATTGGTGCCATAAGTTTCTCTGATGTTTTTGATAGGATTGCGCATTTACCATTAAAATTGTCATCCGGACCAGATAATGTACCTGAGTATTTGTTGAGTAATCTTAGATTTAGCATTTCAAGACCTCTATGGTCACTGTTCAATAAGTCACTGGCCGAAGGTGAGCTTCCGGGGATCTGGAAGGAGAGCTTTATAATTCCTATGTAAGTAATTACCTACAGGAGCATTTCCAAGCAATCTGCAATTCCCAAACTACTTGATAGCCTCGTATATATGATTAATTAAGCTGGAAATGTAAACACTTCATCGATAATCGCCAGCACGACTTTGTCAGTGGTAAGTCTACCGTCTCAAACTTGGTATCTTATGAGACAGACCTTTTGAATGCCTTGGAGAGTAGGTTTCAAGTGGACGCAGTCTACACAGACTTCTCCAAAACATTTGATAGGGTGAATCATAACCTAATTGTTGCCAAACTTCGAGCTATTGATTTTGGTGAAAGAACTGTGGAATGGTTCCAGAGTATGCTGACAGGGAGAACTCAGAAGGTTAGGATCGGAAATTTCGAATCTGGTGGTATTGATGTAACCTCTGGAGTGCCACAGGGTGGCCACTGTGCCCCAATATTATTTAACTTGTTTTTCTGTCACATTGAAAATTATATTGAAAACTGTGCCTATTTGCTCTATGCTGACGATCTCAAATTGTATATAATTGTAGATAACGACAGTGATTCAAGATTACTCCAATGGACGTTAACATCATTTGCAAGCTGGTCAGAACTTAATGGACTATCCCTAAATACTTCTAAGTGCATTTCTATAAGCTTTTTTGAGCACAAGAAAAAACATGAGACTAGTTACAAAACTGGGGATCAAGAGTTGAATGTCGTAAACTAAACTCATAATCCAAGACCTAGGGATATATTTCGATTCTGAAATCACTTTTAGAGATCACATCAAGTATATAGTGGGTAAAGCGTTTCAGATGTTGGGCTTCATTTTCAGAGTTGGTAGGGATTTATCTGTGAACTCACTCCATTTACTGTACTGCTCTCGTGTGAGATCTCATTTAAAATATGCTTCAGTTGTTTGGTCACCATTTTATAACATCTATAAAGTCCAACGTGAGAGAGTTCAACACAAGTTTATAAAATACTGTGCCTGTAAACTTGATATGATAGATGAACTAGAAGATGTCCAACTTCATCTTTGTCTTCCATCACTTGAAAACAAGAGAGTATTTTCCGACTTGTCCTTCATTTATAAACTGGATTAACAGTTAGGGGAGACCGGGGTATTGAGGCCACCCTGGGTATTGAGGCCACCCCTGTTTATTTAAAAACCGCGCGTAAATTGCCGCGCTCAAGGTCGTCCACCATGTTTTCTTATAGCAGACAACCCGCCGCTAGCGATACCGTGCTGCAGTGTGCATCGTTTGGTGATGATCGACGGGTTAGTCGGTTATTTACATTTCTGATGTATCGTTTATTGTAAACAAAGATAAGAATTTCTGTAGTTTGGTTAGAGATATTAGCCTAATTATTTTTGGAGGTTGTATTTGGGTATTCTAGCATATTGTTGAAGGTATTATAATAAAAATTTATTTGAATTTTTCATAAATTTTTTATTAAATACAAACGGGGCAATAAGGCCACAGGATGGCCTCATTGCCCCACGAAGTATTTGCATTTAAATTTTACCGAAAATTAGTTTGTCGATATCATTTTCTTATTATTAGGTACTTTTATTATTTCTTTCTAGATGGTCCGAAATTATAAGAGGTTGACGGAAAAGGCTAGCTGGACTAAAGAAGCCATGACAGAGGCTTGTGCCCAGGTAGCCAGTGGAAGAAGTGTAAAAAGCGTGGCTAAGGCTTTCAACATTCCAAGAACATCTCTTCGAAACCAGTTGAAAAAGGATACACCCCAAGGTCCCAAGATGGGGAAAAATCCTGTTTTTACCGAAGCACAAGAAAACGAATTAAAGAATCACGTTTTACTTTTATCCAAGTTATATTTTGGTCTAACAACCACTCAAATAAGAAGAATCGCGTTTGAATATGCCCAAAGGAATAATATTCCCAACAAATTCAATGAAAATTCTAAACTCGCAGGTGAAGGGTGGTTGTCTGGTTTCTTAAAACGTTGTGGCGACGTCTCATTAAGAAAACCTGAACACACAAGTCTCAGCAGAATTCTAGGATTTAACAAAAAAGATGTTTCCACTTTTTTTGAAAACCTCAACGTGGTTTACGAAAAATATAAATTTTCAGCGTCTCGCGTATTCAACTGTGACGAAACAGGTATCAATACAGTTGGCAATGCTGTAAAAATATTAGCCAAAAAAGGGCAAAAGCAAGTTGGACTCGTTTCTAGTGCAGAACGTGGATCAAACACCACAGTCGTCTGTTGTTTCAGTGCTGCGGGATACTACGTACCTCCAATGTTTATATTTAAACGTCAAAGAATGACACCACTGTTAGAAAGGGGTGGACCACCAGATGCTATTTACACGTGTTCAAAATCAGGCTAGATAACTGAAGAACTTTTTGTGAAATGGCTTGAACATTTCCAAAAAAATACGAAATGCTCGTTGACTGAACCTGTGCTCCTTGTTCTCGATAATCATTCGAGTCATGTGTCATTGGCAGCATATAACTTCTGTAAGGCCAACGGAATTGTAATGGTATCTTTACCCCCACACACGTCTCACCGCACCCAACCTTTAGACGTTGTTTTCTTTGGCCCTCTTAAAAAAGCTATGAATGTTGAGATTGACCTTCATCTAAAAACCAAACAGTACGAACGTGTTGGACAGTATGATATTGCCTCTATATTTAGTTCTGCATATGGCAGAGTGGCAACTATGGACAAAGCAACTAAAGGCTTCCAGTGTACCGGAGTATTTCCCCTAAATCCACATGTGTTTGCTGAAACTGAATTTGCAATAGCCACTGAAGATGATAGCATGGAGACAGATCCATCTGCGCCACCCACTGAAAATGATATCATGGAACCAGGCCCATCTAAAGTCGAAATGAACACTGGAAAGGTTACTCAACAAGATTTTCCAAAAACAGACAGTGTTGCTGGATGTTCAAACGAAACATTAACTATTCCTGACAGTGTCGGATTAAATATTTCCTTTGCTGACATTACTCCAGTTCCTCAAAAACCTACCAACAAAGCCAAAACCGTTCGTAAAAAAGGTTCTTCAAAAATATTGACTTCAACACCTAACAAAGAAGAACTAATTGAAAAAGCGCTTAAAAAGGAATGCAAGAATAAGAAAATAAAAGAAAAGAAAGTGATTCAAGTAAAAAAGAAGGTGTTTAGTAGCTCTTCTTCAGAAAGTTCCGCTGAAGTTCACCTAGACGATGAAGGCCTGGAAGATGAAGATTCTGATGAGGAAATTTGTTTAGTTTGTGGAGACTATGGAAGAAAAAGTGAAATTTGGTTTAGGTGCACTATGTGTGGAAAATGGGCCCACAAAGACTGTAGTGGATGTGAAAGAGCTAAGCGATATGTTTGCGACTTTTGTAAATGATTCATTTTACTTCATTATTTAAAAAAAAACATTACTTTCCTATGTTATTCTTATAATTTAAGTATGTATTATGTGTTTATTTGATTAATGGGGCAATAAAGCCACACGTGGCGTTATTACCCCATATAGCGGGGCAATCAGGCCAACGCCTATTTCTTGGATTTTCAAGTGAAAAATAAAATCCTTTCGAATTCAATATTTGTTTGACTTCTTTGGTGATAGATAACATAGGGATGGATAGTATGATCCAAAAAAGAAATGTATTTTCCCAAAATTTCTGTGTGATATTTCAAGTTTTCCTTAAGGTGGCCTCAATACCCCGGTCTCCCCTACATAGACTGTCCGTATCTTCTCAGTAAAGTCTTTCTGAAAGTATCATGCCGACCTCTTAGAAGAAGTGAGGTTTTTTATGTACCTGTCCATAGAACTAATTATGGGGGTCATTCTCCTCTCGCCCGTGGTCTTGCTCTATTAAATGCTCACCCTGCGATTGATCCTTTTGGAGGCTCACTTGGTAAATACCGTAACAATATTTGGGTGGCGTTGCATCACCTCTTCAATTGAGTGGACTGTATTAATCAGAAGGGCACGTACAAATTTTAAACTGTATTTATTGCATGAAAATACAAAATTATATTGCAAAATTAACTAACGTGGCGTGGGCCTTGTTGCTTGGCCCGCTGTTTTTCTCGTTCTTCTTCTTTCTTGTTCTGTCGTCTGTCATTCGCCGTTCTCCCTGGTTGCCACCATCGGTGGGGATTTTGCGGCGTTGCGCAAATGTGCAAAAATCCCTTACCAATATTTTACGGTCCAAATTGTAATATTGTGCTATTATTTGGTTTGGACATAGATGATTTATTATTGTTATTCTAGTTAGGTATAATGATTATTGTTATCTTTATTTTGAAATGTATATTTATAAATGGGGCATCCCGTATATTACTTTAAAATAAATAAAAAACCCAGTAACAAACCACTCAAAGAAAACATATCCAAGCTCCACACATGAAATTAGGTTCATCATAGGTATTTTTTGTTGTTAAATGTGCTTCATCCACATTCTGTGGAATATCTCTCTTCATCCTCCCGTAACTTTTTTTTTACCTATTGTGATAACTGGGAATTCAAACAAAGAGGATTTCTGAAATAATCATAGGAAAATTATCCAAGTTTATTTTTTTAACAACCAGTAACCATGCCTAGTAACTAGTGAAGATCATAGAGAAATATAATAGTAGTAAACTACGAGAGAAGTCATTCCCCTGTACTTAACTGGCACAATGTCGACGTTAGTGCCTCTGGTGGCTACGGACAGCAATAAAAGAGTGAACATTGTTTAAATGCAGGTTTCTTCTTTACCGACAGTGAAAAGGCGACTTTTTTGAATAATTAAATTATTAACTTTGATTTTATTTAAGATTTATTAAAAATAAAGTACTGTAAACGCTCAAAACAGTTAATTGCAAAGCAAAACATTTGTTGAAAAAACTTGCTAAAATTTACCGAGCAACTGTTTAGAACGATAACAGAACTTATTTTAAAAAAATTCAAATTAGATGCAATGAGATTCCTTGAGGGGGTCAAGGAGGTAATTGAACAATACAAAAATTGAGATATCTTTAAACAAACTTATTTTTTTATTCCAATTTTATAAATATACAGTAACTAAAGATGTTTGTATTATAAGCTTCGTGTTTACCTTTTTACTGCATCTCGCATCATCGCAAATTCGAAAACACACTATTATTGGTGTCGGTTTTGTCTAATTAATTAATATTTATGATCACAGAATGTTTTCTCATTTCTCTAATATAAATAATAGAAAAAATTTTAAGTTATGATGATGAGCATTCAATTTTTGATTGATGGTCTTCGGATTCAATCATAGACGATTCATTAATTTGTCAAATTTTGACAATTTTGTATTTTGTATGTGTTAAAAAAAGATAGAACATTTTCGGGCAAGTTGCTGACAAAGACAAATTAAACCGAGTTGTCAGAAACGATCGAAGTAAATAGTTCAATAATTTGCCACACCATGCGAAATAAGCTACGGGTATGTGCACAAACACTCTTCCAGATTGTTACATTAAACAAACGTCTCTCGTAGTTTACTACTATTATATTTCTCTATGGTGAAGATAACAAAAGAAATAGAATATAATAAAAATATACCTTGATAAAAATAATTACAAAAACCTAACATGACAATATAAAAACTATGAAATGCTAAGAGCAGTTATCCAATATACTACAATCTACCCTACCTATAAATTTAAACGTTCAGGTGCTTTTATAATTCTTTTGGGACGCTCATTAACATTCAAACTAGCAACCTTACTATTTTCTTTTAATAAACACTTTGCTTCTTTAGTTTCAGTCATTATTTTTCTAGGACTAAACACTTCACTAGAAATGGGTTCAATCACTGGGTCATTTTCGGGTTTTGAGTCACAGTTAGGTAAATTTGTCACAGAAGAGGAAATACAATACTTATCAGATATTAAACTATTATTTTTGGCTGTAGGTGCATTATCCAATGTTGCCTGTTTAAAATCAACTTTACATAAATAAATTCTATCACTAAGAACTTCATCTATTTTAGCTTCGACCCAAGCCTTTTTATTCGGGTTTCTGAAATCTCTACATAATACGCTATCTCCCTCCTTAAAAGGCTCGTTTCGTTTACCAGGATAATTTAGAACATTCTTTTCAGACTTAACAGTTCTTTCTGTCAACAAATCAAAGCGGTTTCTAATCTTATGCTTGAAAACTAAACTACTTGGTGTAACACCTGTAGTAGTGTGTACCTACCGAATTTCTATAATGAAACAAATATCTACTAATTAGAGTTTCAAAAGAGACATCACTGGCCTCTTCTTTAAATGCTTTTGAAATACTACTTTTTAAATTTTCAACTGCATTTTCAGCGAAACCATTAGTCGCAGGATGATACGGAGGAGAGGTCTGATGTTTGACTCCATTAAAATTTAAAAATTTAGAAAACTCATCAGAACAGAATTGCGGACCATTGTCAGTTACTACAACCTTTGGTAGACCAAATCTAGCAAAACATTCCCGAAATTTTTCAACCGTACTCACCGCATCAGTGCTTTTCATGATAAAGGCTTCTGGCCATTTAGAAAAAGTGTCAATAATAATTAAAACCATCTTATTTTTAATCGGACCTAAAAAATCTGCATGTATACGTTCATAGAAATAGTTTGATTTCACACAAGGAATTAAAGTAGAATTATTAGGTTCTGGTCTACAAGTAGAACACATACGACACTCAGACACAACTCTCTCAATGTCCTTATCAAGTGAAGGCCACCAAAAATAAGACCTAGCATTAGCCTTCATTTTACTAACCCCTTCATGGGTGCTATGAAGCTCTAATAAAAGCTGTTGTCTTAACTTGGTAGGTACAATCACCCTGTATGTCCAAAGTAAAACTTCATTATCAATAGACAATTCAGATTGTCTAATAAAATAAGGTTTAAATAACTCATTTTTGGTATGACCAGGAAAACCATGTCTAACAAAATTGAAAATTTGACCCAGAACAGCATCACGTCTAGTCTCTGACCTTATTTTATTAGTATCAATCGCAGTAACTGTTTCCAAAAAATTCAGGTAATCATATTCAATCTGCTCAACTGGCTCAGACAAAGGCAAAGGTAATCTACTTAGTGCCGGTACTTTTGCTCTCATTTGACAGCCGTTAAAAATAATCAGGGAATGAATGAATGTGCTCTAACCACATCATACTTATATAGACCTTGGTCCATGCAAAACTTTGACAACGTATCAAATTCGTTAATCGAGAGCAAAAGTATCGGCTCTTAAAGCATCAGCTTTGACATTTTCTTTACCGCTTATGTACCTTATAGTGTAATCAAAGCCACTAAGAAACAAAGACCACCTCTTAAGTCTCCCTGCTGCCATTTTAGGTAAAGTTTTATATTCCCCAAACAAAGTTTGTAAAGATTTGTGATCAGTTACTATCTCGAATTTTCTACCAGCTGAATATTCATAAAATTTAGTAACTGCCCAATAAATACTTAGTGCTTCTTTATGCACCATGCTATAATTTTTCTCAGCCTTAGTTAATACGCGAGAAATGAAACTTATAGGTCTTTCAACTCCATTCGGCATAACATGCAACAGAACCGCTCCAATGCCATACTCACTACTATCACAAGCTAAACGTAAAGGTTTATTCTGATCAAAATGTATCAATATACTATCAGAAAGAATACTACTTTTAGCAAATTCGAAAGACTTATCACAAGCTTTGGTCCAAATGAATTCTTGCTCTTTTTCTAAAAGTCTATACAGAGGCTTTAAGTTATGAGACAAGTTAGAAATAAATTTAGAATAATAATTAATCATACCAACGAAAGCACGAAGCTCCGTTCTGTCACGTGGTCTTGGAGTTTTTAAAATAGCCTCGATCTTCTTATCGTCCTTCTCCAAACCCTCAGCTGTAATAGTATGACCTAGATAACAAATTTTATCTTGAAAGAAAACACATTTTTTCGCATTCAATCTAAATCCAGCTTTTTCTAACCTAGTCAAAACTTCAGTTAAATTTTCCAAATGTTCAGCCTCATTTTTACCAGTCACAACAATGTCGTCTAAATAATTAACAGTACCCTTACAACCCTGCAATACTTTCTCTACAATATTCTGAAAAATAGAACAAGCCGGTTTTGTTCCATAACGCAAACACTTGAAAATACCAAATGGCGTACTCTAAGCTAGAAGCTCAGACGTCTCATCGTCCAAAACTAACTGATTGTAAGCATTCAAAAAGTCCAATTTTGTAAACTGCTGTCCACCCTGTAAAGCAACAAAAATCTCTTCTATCCGTGGAATCGGATCATTGAAATCTTTCAAAAATTTGTTAATTGTCACTTTATAATTGGCACAAACCCTAATATCTACTCCATTAGCTTTGACAACTGGTACGAGTGGTGTACCAAAACTAGCACTAGAAACTTTCTCAATAACACCCTCTAGTTCTAATTTTTCCAATTCTTTTTGAACTTTTTCTTTAAAAGCAAAAGCTATAGGTATGGGCTTTTTGAAAATAGGCAAAATACCTTTTTCTACTTCTAACTTAATTTTATCATACTTGTAAGTACCTAATTCATTTCTAAATAAATTTGAAAACCTATTTAAAATTCTTTGAAGCCGAATTTTAGTCTCATCTTGACTTACTTGAAAAATTGGCTCGGTTTTTAATGTCTGCATAATTGGCTCACCATTTAAAAAAACTTCACTCCTCTCATTCAGAGTAAATGAAAATTGACGCCAAATATCTCTTCCTATAAGTGCCTTTGTTGCTCCTTCTACAACTAAAAATTTGCACCTTTTTGTAATATGATTAACAGAAAAATTTACTTCAATCTGACCTTTTGGCTTTACCACAGGTCCATGATAAACTTTAATTAAAATTTTGCTTGGAAATAAATCTACCGAAGGGAATAATTTTTTGTATATCTCAAAGGGTAAACAAGACAAACCTGCCCCCGTATTAATCTCAAAAACAAGCTGAATACCATTTACAAAAGCATTTAAAATAACTGGAGCAATGTGATCATTGTCTAAATTGAAAATATCTATCTCAAGATTAAAGAAATCTACTTCAAGATCGTTATTCCCTAAATAATTGACTTTATTAACCTGGTTTTTATATACTTTAGCAATATGACCCTTTTTTTTACATACACTACAAGTGTATTTCTTAAATTTACATATTTTAAAAACATGGTTACCTTCTCCACAGGCAAAGCACAAAAATTTCTTATCTCTCAACTTGTCTTGTTCATTTACCTGCTTCTTTTCTTTAGGTTTTCCACCTTTAAAATTTCCTTTCGCCTCATCAAATTTCTTCTGGTTACCATGTCCATGAAGATGAAAAACATTTGACAAAGGCTGTCTTGTGTCCTTAAGGGCTGACTCTTTTACTAAAGCTATCTCCACCATGTCCTTCAAAGATCTTGTTATTTTCTCTTCACAAAGACGGTCTAAAATAGGTCCTGGTTTTAATCCAACTACAAATTTATCTAAAACCCTGGACTCGAGCAAATTTCCATATTCACATTCGGAAGCTGCTTTTTTTACTCGAACAAACCATTCATTAATCGACTCTTCTTTCTGCCTCAATAAATCGAAAACAATTCTTTTTCGGTAAACAGATACTTTTGGTTTAAACTGGCCTGACAACAAATCAATTAATTCCAGAAAAGATTTGGAACTGGGTTTTTCCGGATGACAAATGTTTCGCAAAATAATATAAACTTCTTCAGTTATAGAAGTTAAAAGTACTGAAACTCTTCTGCCATCTTCAACACGGTTGACTAAAAAAAACTGGTCTAGCCTTTCGCTAAAAATTTTCCAATCATCCCCAATCTTGAAAATAGGCAAATTAGAAATATTGCCCGTATTTACCACAGTAACATTCGTCGTGCCCGTAATCTCAGCATCATTGTAAGCGTCGTTCGGCATCTTGAAAAGGCAAGGATAATCCAATAATATTTTTTATTTGCAATCATATATGTAATCTTGTCATTACTGACTTTTTAAAAATTTGGAAGTGACACTTTACCTGTGTCACTTCCCTCTTCGATTTCCCTCACCGATTTCCCTATTCGACTTCCCTCACCCATAAATTGACAAAAACCTGACATGACAATATAAAAACTAAAAACTATGAAATGCTAAGAGCAGTTATCCAATATACTACACCTATTGGTAAAACTTTATATAGAAAACTAAAATGTAGGTAGGTACCTATCATACTCAAAATTATTCCAATAATGGGCATTTAGATTAATCCAATTAAAAAAACATCTCGAATTTCTAGGAATTTTAATTACCTTTTCCTAAGATAATTAATTCCCATTGAACAACATTTGTCGTTTTCAACAAATTCAATGTTTTTTTTTCTTTCCAGAAATGGTTCTAACTTAAACGCTCAAGATTCTTACGGATTCACGCCACTGCACGTAGCAGCCCTAAATGAACTGACAGACTGCGTCAGCATTTTAATCCTCCACGGAGCTGATTGCTCTATAAAATCAAAATCTGGCATAACCGCCTTTTCTTTGATAGCCAAAAAAACACCCTCGGCAATGGAAACTATCAAAGACAAATTGTCCGAGTTTATAATATTGAAGTACGATAAACAGGCTCTAAATGAGATTGAAATGATTTTTGATTTTAAACGAGGCCTGCATCATCCTAAGGAGTATTCTATATTGAATGCGTATATCGATGCTGGGCATAAAGAAATGCTTTTGCACCCTTTTGTGATGGCCTTTTTGTACGTAGCTTGGAATAGAATTAAGCGATGCTATTATGGAATGATTTTTAATTCATTAATGTTTAGTTTGAGCTTGTTGTTTTACGTTTTGACTTCTTTGGCTTTTGATTGCGATAGAAAATTCGCAAACAAGTCAAACATCCATTGCGGTAATCGTTCTTATTTGAATAAGTTTTTAAAAAATAGTCCTGTGACGTTGGAAATTCAATGGTACATTCTTATATTTGCTACGTTGAATTTGGCTTATGGGAAAATTTATAGTTTTAATGGTTATCCTACATTGAAACACTATTGCCTTAATGTAAGTAATATTCTAGAATGGAATGGTATACTTTACGTATTTGTTTTGTCTTGTATGTATACAGGGAAAGTTGAAAACTGGCAAGTTAATATAGGAGCTTTTGCTATTATGTGCACTTGGACTAATATAATGTTTGAAATAGGCCAATTGCCAGCTTTTGGGCCATACGTTGAAATGTTTGAAAAAGTCAAAAGCGAATTTCAAAAACTACTTTTAGTGTTTTTTCCGTTTCTTATAGGTTACTCAATAGCGTTTTGTATACTATTTCCCAATTCTCCAGCATTTTATAATCCATTTATTGGCTTTATATCATCCTTAGTTATGATGACTGGAGAAATGAATTATGAAATTTTACTGGAATATTCTACAGAAGAAAACTCTGGAGATTTTACTAAAATTTGCGCAGGAGTCGCTTACACTTGCTTCCTATTTTTCATTACCATAATTTTAATGAATTTACTTGTAGGTATTGCAGTGCACGATATCCAAGGCCTGCAAAAGAACGCAGATTTGGCCAGATATTGTAGATTTGCTAAACTGTGCTCTTACATAGAAATGTCCCATTTTAATCGTAAAAGCTTTGCTAAATTAATTATGATCGTGTTATTGAGAATAGTACCAAAACCTTATATGCCAATCCTAAAAGTGAAACCTTTGGAACCTGATGATACACCATTTTTGAAAGAAATTGTTCAAGCTGCTTACGATTTGGCTAAAAAAAGGGAAGCAAACAAAAAGGAGGTTTTTTCGAGGACTAGAAGTGAAGGAGATCATTGGAGACGTTTGATAAACAATAAACATCAGTCCACTGATTTAAAATGGACTGCCACTTTAACACAGTTAGTGCAAAAGTTGGATAATACCAATAAGCAAATTCAAAATTTGTTTGAAGAAGTTGCTGATCTGAGAAAGGCTGTAACTCCTATTAAAACTTAAAATAATGAATTACATTTATTAAAATAATCACAGATAAAAAACGTGCAGTCTATAACTTTTTACAATAATATAAAATATGATTTCAGGAAGACTATGACCATGTATAAAAAATATTAAATTGTTCTTGTACACTTTATACCTATATAGAATGTCTCAAAATAAATATTTATATATTGATTATTATAAAGAAACACTCTGTATATAAGGTCAAATGCATTACTTTAATTTGATTTGATATGTAAAAATGTTGTTTTATTTTGGCACAATTTCCAAAACGCCCAGACTAATTCCCAGTTGGGCAGCATAGTACGAGGACATAATCAGGACCTGAAAAATGATAGTTGGATATTAGAAAAACCTGGCAAAATTTCAAATATTTCCAATTCATGCCAATTATAATTTACCTGAGAATGAGCAATGGGTCGAACAAACATACTAATTCCAATAAAAAAATCTGACAGTGCAAATAGTACACTGCCTGTACAAATACTGATTTGAGTCCAGGTCCATGGATTCTAAAATAAAATTTCATTACTATATTCATTCGCACACAATAATTAATTTTCACCTGAAGACGTGCAAAAGCTCTCCAAATCATAGTATCGATTATTAAAATATACATAGAAACTCCTGGCACAAATAATCCCGATAATCCTTTGTATAACAAAGAAATATCTAAAAAAAATAATTAAAGTTTTTTGTTTTAAATTTTTATATTTACTCACTAATTCCTCCTATAAGAAACGAAAACAACCCAATTCTTGGCTTCAAAGGCTTGAATCCAAATGCTCGGATATAGTTTAGGTGTCCCAGCATAAATGCTAACATCCCATGAAAAAAATAGCCCTTAAACATTAAAAACCCATCTCCTATACAACAGAAAAATAAGCCTACAAAAATTGGGTTTGTACAGGACCTAGAAACCATTAAAAATAATTATTAAGTAATTATGAATTATTAATCATACCCGTAGTGTTTTACAAAATACATCAAACTCATTATTGGGGAACATTTTATAATCACAGCCAGCAATGTTGGATTTTCAGCAGGAGGAATTAGTAGGATAAAGTAGATTATTACTGTTGCGAAGAAAGGGACTAGTTTTCCAAATAATACACTTATTTGTGGCTAAAATAATTTTGTTTCAGTAATAAATTTGCATTGTCATAAAAATGAAATTTATCTATTACGACATTGTTATTGTTGCAACTAGTGATTAATTATTGTTATTGATATTGCACAATAGGTGCATTTAATAATGTTAAAACAAAACAAAAAACAGGTAAGTACTTACCAAATTCATGGCTTTATTAATAAATGTAAGTCCAAGGTTGCGGTCAACAGCACATACACATCCAATGACCCATCAAGCACTGATTTTTGCTTTAAAACAAAAATGTTTATTCTCTGAACCCACGCAACATTATTCTTGTTTGTCTGGATAATAAAACGCGGATGGAAAATCGTTGGAAAGGATGCACCGAGAGCGCATGCTTTGAAAATGTATTCAATTATCATTCCTGAATTGACTCAAACTTAGATAATGCTAAAAAGTTAATTGTAAGGAGACAATAATGATTAGTTTCACCACTCAGGGTCAAAACTATTGCCAATGGCCAGGATATTGAAAATTGTATGCATAAAGCTAAAAATAAATTATATAGGCAATTTGTGAATGTAGGTTGTTTTTAGTTCATTTTATCTAAAGCTCAGTGATGAAATGATTATGATTAGAATATTATATTTATTATAGTTTAGTTTCAAGACTCAAGACTCTTATTTACTCAGTAAACACATAGGTATGTTACATTTACGTAAAGTTTAAGATCATTTTTTACCAGCATTAGTTGCTATTATATTTAAGTTATTCCGGATAATAACTTGAACTACATGGGGATTTTGGACACCATTGAAAATGTAGGGTGGACCAGGTGTGGAAAAATTTGCGCAATCAAATGCCTACAAATAATCTTCATCAACTTCTCTGAACTTAGCAACGGATATATTGTCAACTAGGTAGGTACTTAAGTAAATACCACTCTGTACATCAATTTTACTAAAGTGTGTCGACAAGTCAGCATTTATTTGGTATAAATATTGCGCAGTAATCCATTACCGGCAGACTAAGCAGGCTAGTGCAAAGTACCTCAAATGGGAAAAGCCCCTCTAGCTAAGTTTCCCCCCAGTGCAAACTACCTTTATTAGAAAATGCCCTTCGGGACCTATTTCAAACCCAGCTTCAGTCTTCAGTCACGCCAAGTGTACAGAGGGTACCTACATAATACAGGGTGGCCTATAAGTAGTACGTCCTTCTGTAGAAGAGACGTCATGATACTATTTCTAGGGTAATATTATTATTACATATTCAATGTATTATCTTATTATACCTATACCAAGCGAGTTTCTCTCTACCTGAACCCCACCTACGTCCCCAGGTCACGCTCCTGTTGTAACACCTCAGGACGAAACGTATAAGGGTTGTGACAATATACAGGGCAAAAAAGGAAAAAAAAAAGCGTTTCATAAACTCCATGTATTACAACATGTAGATTACATTCAGTCCTACATCTATCCTAGAAATTTCGAAAATGGATATTGAAAAGAGTGTTTATTATTAAACCAAAAACTGTCTTATAAATAAGATAAATTCTTTAAATATTTTCTGGTTAGACACATACATACTCAAGACATTTTAACAGAAAAATCAACACAGTAATAAAAATTTACGAAAATAACTGGAGCAGACCATGTAAAATGCCCAATAATCAAATCCGACATTTTTAATGGGAGTCGTATTTTTCTTTTCCAATAAAAAATGTCCAATTAGATTTGACATTTATATTCTCGACTCAGTTATTTTAGTAAAATGTTTATCACCCTCTACTCTTGTATATTTTTTCATCGTCTAAAAGCCTCTAGTTCTTTCTACTTTACAATAAATACATATTGGGTCAAATTAAAAATAGACGAAATAAGTACTTCATACAGAGTGTCTCCAAATAGGTGGTTTTGAATAAAAGAAAATTTCTAATAAATTTTGTTCCTCAATTTTGAAACACCTCAACTCAATAAGTTTAAGATTTAAATATAGGTACTAAAGTCTTTTAAGTTTTAACAGCAGTAATAACTTTTTTTAAATCCGCAACCACTTCAAACAAATTTTGAATCTGCCTATTAGTACCATCCAATGACTTTTTAACACAGTTTGTTAATTCATTGGTACTATCCAGCTTCTTCATCATCTGTGTCAACGTGGCAGTCCATTTCAAATCGAGCGCCTCATGTTTCAAACTATTATTCATCAAGCGTCTCCATGGACCTCCTTCACTTCTAGTCCTCGAAAAAATCTTCTTTTTATCCGCTTCCCTTTTTTTGGCCAAATCATAAGCAGCTTGAATGATTTCTTTCAAAAATGGTGTGCCTTCAGGTTCTAAGGGTTTGACTTTTAGTATCGGGACGTAAGGTTTTGGTACTACTCTTAACAAAGTCATAATAAGTTTAGCAAGATTTCCACGTTTAAAATGGGACATTTCTATATAAGAGCACATTTTGGCCTGTCTACAACATCTAGCCAAATCTGCGTTTTTTTGCAGGCCTTGGATATCGTGTACTGCAATACCCACAAGTAAATTCATTAAAATTATAGTAATAAAAAATAGGAAGCAAGTATAAGCGACTCCTGCACAAATTTTAGTAAAATCTCCAGTGTTTTCTTCTATTGAGTAATCCAGCAAAATATTATAATTCATGTCTCCAGTCATCATGACTAAAGCTGATATAAACCCAATCAATGGATTGTAAAATGCTGGAGAATTAGGGAATAATATACAAAATGCAATGGAATAGCCTACAAGAAATGGGAAAAACACTAGAAGTAATTTGAAAAATTCGCTTTTGACTGTCTCAAACATTTCAACGTAAGGACCAAAAGCTGGCAATTGACCTATTTCAAACATTATATTAGTCCAAGTGCACATAACAGCAAAAGCTCCTACGTTAACTTGCCAATTTTCCACTCTTCCAGTATAAATACAAGACAAAACAAACGCATAAATTATACAATTCCATTCTAGAATGTTACTCATATTAAGGCAATAATGTTTTAATGAAGGATAGCCATGAAACCCATAAATTTTTCTATAAGCCAAAGACAAAGTAAAATATAGAAGAATATACCATTGAATTTCCAACGTAAGAGGACTATTTTTTAAAAACTTATTCAAATAAGAGTGATTATTGCAATGTATATTTGAATTGCCTGGAAGTTTTCTGTCGCAATCATAAGCCAAAGAAGTCAAAACATAAAACAACAAAGTCAAACTAAACATCAACGAATTATAAATCATTCCGTAATAGCAACGCTTAATTCTATTCCACGTAACGTACAAAAAAGCCATCACAAAAGGGTGCAAAAGCATTTCTTTATGTCCAGCATCGATAAACGCATTCAATATAGAATACTCCTTAGGATGATGCAAGCCTTGTTTAAAGTCAAACATCATTTCGATCTCATTTAGAGCCTCCTTATCATACTTCAACGTAATGTACTCGGACAATTTGTCTTTGATAGTTTCCATGGCCGAAGGGGTTTTTTTAGCTATCAAAGAAAAAGCGGTTATGCCAGATTTTGATTTTATAGAGCAATCGGCTCCGTGGAGAATCAAAATACTGACGCAGTCTGTGAGTTCGTTTAAGGCTGCTACGTGTAAAGGGGTGAATCCGTGAGAATCTTGAGCGTCTACATTGGAACCATTACTGAAAAGTGACACATTAGATTTAGTTGAAAAATAATTTTACAAAAAGAATCCAGCGGCGGATACAGTAAGGGGGACAGGGGGCAAAATATTGTATGCTTTCAGCTTTATAGACAAACAAGGTATAAATTTTTGGAATTGGGGCATTGTGCTTTTCAAAAATATAGAATAAAATATAGGGCATCCTATTTGAAAAAAGCTGGAAGCATGCAAAATTTCAATTTTCTGACATTCAAATTTTGTTTCTAACCATGGTCAATATATGAAAAAACACCCTCTACAAATAAGTGGATTATTGCATAATTTATGGGTGGACCTCTGCGGGACGAGCGCAGCGAGTTCCGCAGCCATCTACTCACCAATATACTGTTGAACTGTTCAAATAAGACATTCACCTAAAACATGTAGTTTTTGGACTAATGAGAAAAATTCACAACTGAGTGAATCAGGTTAGTATCGTACTTGAACAACATATTGGTGAATAGATAACTGGGGTCCACTCATAAGTTCCGCAACAATCCACTCGTTTGTAATTGAATAACACAATATATTACTAGTTTGGTAAAGTAACATTACTAATTCCTGTTAAAAGGCCAATTGACAAAAAGTGGATAATCTTACAAATTCTGACTTTATATAATAAGTTATTGTTCAAGTACAAATAAGTGGATTGTTGCGGAATTTATGGGTGGACTTCTGCGGGACGAGCGCAGCGAGTTCCGCAGTCATCTAATCATCAATATACTATTAAACTGTTCAAGTAGGACATTCACCTGAAATGTGTAATTTTTAAACTAATGAGAATAACGCACATTTGAGTGAGTCAGTTTAGTATCGTAATTGAACAATATATTGATGAATAGATGGCTGCGGAACAAGCGCAGCGAGTTCCGCAGAGGTCCACCCATAAGATCCGCAACAATCCATTCATTTGTACTTGAATAACTTATCACAATATATTACTAGTTTGGTAAAGTAACAATACTAATTCTTGTTGAAAGGCAAATTAACAAAAAGTGAATAATCTTACAAATTCTGACTTTATTCAATAATTTATTGTTTAAGTAAAGGGTGTTTTTTTATATAAGTATTGACACCCAACTTACAGTCTTCACCTTTACAAGTAGATGAATCGTTTAAATAGAAAAGTTGTACAGTGTTGGCTTAATTTTTAGACTCCATAGTCAGAAACAAAAATTGAATGTCAGAAATGTGAAATATTGCATGCCTTCAGCTTTTTTCAAATGGGATGCTCATTGATATATTTCATTCTATATTTTTGAAGAGCACAATTTCCCGATGTCAAAACTAAACTAGTCAAAACGAAATAAGGGCCACTTTTAAAAACACCTTTATTTTCATTGAATTTTGAAAAACCCTCGTAGTGTTTATTTCCATTCACAATATATATTTTTTGTGCGCACATATTGTAAATGAAAATGTCACTTCACCAGGGTTATTCAAAATTTAATAATAACTAAGGGCGCTCTTAAAAGTGGTCCTTATTTCGTTTTGAGTAGTTTATATAGTTTGTCTATATTTGGTTGAGCCGTCTCCAACATATTTGGTTCTAAAAATTTTAAAAATACTATCAGAGAAACCAAGTAGGTACCTCAAATTTCACCTGCAGCTTTCAGCTGTATACGTAGAATGCGAGGGGTATGACACCTTTGAAATCAGGTGTATACTTCAATCAATAGAAATCACCGAAATCTGT